AGCTGCTCAACCGCGACCCCAAGACTGGCGTTGCCCATCCCACTGACAAGGCCAAGAAGATTGCCATGAATGGCCAGACCGCATGGTACGAGCTGGAGTACACGACGACCACGCTGTACACCACTCTCATCTTTGTCATGTCCTTCCTGCCTTTCTTGTTTTAGAAAGACTCGTTCACGTCATGATTCCTGGCTTTGGTGATGGCAATCCCTCCCGTTTTCTCTGACAACAGTGTACATAGCATTGCTTAGCTGATTAGTTCTTTTTTTTTTTTTTCGTTTTATTTTCGTCTCGCTGCTTGTTGCCAGCATTTGCTTGCAGTTTCTTTTTTTTTTTTTTTTGCTTTTTACTTTTTTTTTTCCATTGTTTTGACATCGTTTTTTTGCCTCCTCCACTTCGTTACTCTTTTCACTTTACAGCAACCGGTACGGCGTGCACGCCTGCCATACACGACGCACGTTGGGAACAGGATTTACGGCCACCGGATACAATCGGCGTTCTGCATTTGGAAGGGCTCTTGCCCGTAATGTAATTCAGTACATAGACCATACAGGGGAAGCGCCCGGGCATACACATACGGCAACGAGTATATATTATTTGATATTTGACGTTCTATTTTATTTTAAATTATTCGGACTCCCGCCGTTGATTGGCATAGAATTGCAGTTTGTCGAATCGCCACCGGAAACGGCTCAGGCCCGTCTCGGCCCGCAGACTCCAAGTGCCTTGGGCCGCGGACGACAGCCAAGTGTTAGATAATACTGTGCAACACAGTGCACACATTACAAAAGTAGACCGTAAGCCGAGAAAAACCTTGCTCTGATTTCTTGATCTTGAACGAGGCACACATAATTTTTGTTTGGCTGTCATAGGAGCTGCGTTGTCGTACGACTCGTATTTCTTCGGAGGCCGATGCCACCATGCACCCAGCTATGGCCACTGTAGCACAGTGGGTATTGCGGTATCTGGAGTCGCGTCAGCAGGTCATATAGCGCACCTCGTTTAGTGTCCATTTGCTATGTGAGCCAGCCCTGGGATTTTCAAAACACCTTTAGCATAGTTACGCGAAGACGCAAAATAAGTGTCGAATGTTCTCACACCGTAACGCACATTTCAGAATCCTCGCCGTATATGGTGATTGGTAATGCGCAGCACAGATCGGACGAGAAACGCGCCGTTGCGCGATGTATTCCGCCGTATCGGAGCCTCGCCGGCAACAGCACGTCATTACCTGCGATGGCGAACAATGCGGCAGAGCTGACGAGCTAACGGCGTGGGATATGAGAAGGCTCAAACCCCGCATAGCACGCAAGACGACCTACGACAGCGGAGGCTGTGTGTGATGTGCTGGATATATGATCCGATGCGCCCACACGAGAGGCGAGATCATTCATTATCTGTTGACCTTGGTGGCATTGGTTGTCGGGCACTTTGTTGTACAGGCGCAGTGTTGCATGCGTCTTCTTTAAAACCGATATCGATACTTACACTGCAGCAAGGCGGCCGCGCGGTTCATAGCGAGTAAGCATCAAGGGCCTTGCGGTATTGCACAGACTTTCGGAGTTGCAGAACAAACAAAGCAAACGAGACAAAAACACCCTGTCGCAGTTGCCAGTTGCCATGGCACCGCCCATCAAGTCTGTCGCCATCATCGGCGCTGGCGCTTCAGGTGAGTTCCCCAGTGCCACCATCCATCGCCGCGTACTCTACAAAACACATCTAATACAATCCCCAGGCGCTGCTTCTGCGTCTGCACTTGCAGCAGAAGGATACTTTGACGTGATCAAGGTTTTCGAGCGGCGCGAGGAGCCCGGCGGAACATGGATCTACGACGCTGTACCACCGGTTCTCAAGCTCGTCCCGGGCGGCTTGCCGCACGACATCGACCCGCCACTTGCCATTCCCGAGGTCCTACCGGCAACATTGGCGCCAAATAGCCAAGAGCGGTTCACCAAGACGCCCATCTACGACGGCCTCACGTGAGACAACTCATTGTTCCCTGGGAAGAAAACATAGACGAACAATTCATTTGCTAATGCGCTGTCTTGACTGCAGAACGAACGTTCCAGAAATTGCCATGTCCCTCTCCGACCGGCGCTTTCCTTATGGCCCCTTTGTCCCTCACTGGATCCCAAAGAACTACATCCGGGAGTACTTCTCACTGCACGGCGACGATTCGCTCCTGTTCTTGAACACGACGGTGGAGGACATCTCCCAAATTCACGAAAAGTCACGCGGTGCGCACAACCGATGGCGGCTCACCTTGCGGAAGCACGACCGCACGCGGGACGTCGACGAGTGGTGGCAGGAAGAGTTTGATGCCGTTATCCTAGGCAACGGTCACTACGCCGTTCCATTTGTACGCCGCCCCTTGCGTTAGTTTTTTCTTCCTTACCTTCAGGGCCCCATTTCTAATCGCTGTAAATTCAGGTCCCCGCAGTGACAGGTCTGCCTGAATTTCTGGTCAACTACCCTGGTCGTGTAATTCATTCCAAGAGTTACAGGTCACCAAAGGTGTACACTGGCAAGCGCGTCCTTGTCATCGGCAATTCGGCTTCTGGTCATGATGTTGCTGACCAGCTCGTAAAGTACGAGGGTGTACACCACCCTGTGTACCAGTCGCGCCACTCGCGGTCGCTGTGGGAGGGCGATGAGCCACCAGAAGGTTTGGTATGGAAACCAGTCATCGACGAGTACAAGGCAGACGGTACGATCGTATTTGTCGATGGCACGGAATTGGGTCCGAACGACGTCGACGTCATCATCTACTGCACTGGCTACAAACCTTCGTACCCTTTCTGGAACGTGCAGCAGAACGGTCGCAGGCTGTACAACTACGAAGAAAATCGGTTCGAGGGCATCTTTCAGCATACATTCGTGCGTGACTTTCCCACACTTGGTATTGTAGGCCTGCCTCGCACGTTGACTTTCCGGTCGTTTGAATACCAAGCAATTGCTCTGGCCCGGCTCTGGTCCGGCCGTGCTGTCCTCCCACCTGTCGCTGAGCAACAACTTTGGGAAGAAGAGCGCATTGCCGAGCGCCGACACAGCGGCAAGAGGTTCCACGATATTGAATGGGATACTGGCGAGACGGACAACTACCTCAATTTCCACTATCGCTTGGCTGGGTTGCCCCAATTGGATGGCAAAGGCCTCACGCCACCGATTCTCAACTCGGCGACACGCTGGGCACTTGAAAACATTAAAAAGTACCCCATCATCCGGCCGTCACCACCGCCAGATAGAGACGCAAATCGGCGAGCAGCGGAGGATGACTGGGTGGTTATAGAGGGTGTCAAGGATTCGCTTTGGTACATTTAGTTCGCGCCACACATGTTGATTTCCATATTGGATTTGCGTTTTCCCTAGCTAGATAAATGATGATGACCAAGGACCTGAAAGCTAAATTCCACCAGTGTAAATCTATGCAGCAGATGACACGGCCGGTGCCTCGACCACAGTAGGATGTGTAACTCCAACGACTTGGGACGCTGGAGGCGGCGCAGCCGACTCGCTCGCCTCTGCATCCAGTGCCGGCCCACTGTTGACCAGCGTCGTGTACGGAATGGGGTTTCTGACAAGACGGGCATCTCTAAGACCGACCTGCCATCGGTCGTATCCTTTCTCTGGAATAACAGGTGTAGTCCACATGCCATTGCTGCGGAATTGGTTCGTTACGGCAATCGCTGCCTCGACGGGGACATTCGGAAAAAGCTGTGCCAACTCGTCTTGGTATGTCTCGGGGTCAGTGTTGTTGACAAAGTCAATTCCTTTGGCCAATGCTTGGCAGAATCGCTTCTGCTTGTCCAGAACCTCGGGCGTCACCGTGGCGGCCTCCCGGTAGTACACGCTCCACGGAACGTCCCCTTGGGTCACCATCTCCATGGCCACGGATATCTTGGGATTTTTCTCGACCATGGCACGTGCCGACAAGTTGTCCGTGACGAAGAAGTCACCCATACCTCCCTGAAACAGATTGCCGAGCATGACACCGTCGAGGTCTTGAACGTAGTCCACTGCCCGAGCATCAATGTTGTTCTCGCGCAACAGCATCTTGAAGAACAGGCCGACGCTAGCGCCCCCGCCAGACTTCATCAACACCGTCTTGCCGGCCACGTCCTGCAGGTCGAATCCGTCTGCCGGGCCGTGCTTCAGAAGGGCCAACGGGCAGCGGTTGGCAATCTGAGCGAAGACTGTATAGTTTTCCACCCGCTCTAGATACATTGACGGCACCCAGATGCCACCGAGGGCCATGTCAGCCTCTCCAGAAGCCAGCGCGTCGAGAACGCCGTCCCAGGGCGTAGGGATGGTGGTTACCAGCTCGAGCCCCTGCTCCTGGAAAAATCTATGGCGCTGGGCGATGTACTGGGGAAGGTAGTTGAGATTGTGGCCTGTGGCCGTAAGGTTGAACGTCTGCATTTTTGATTGTAGAATGGTGTGCAGTTATTTTCTTTGATGTTCTTTGGGGTGTAGTCTCGTCCACACATGTCAATTAGTGTGGTATTGTAGTGCCTGTGATTTATATAAAAGATGAACTGACGAGAGGAATTGTTACTAGTGATGACACTGCACCATAAAAAATATACGTAGGTTTGATCCGTCGGCGTTGTGCGACGACCGCCAAATGTCTGTAGCTTTTTATGGGGCGCAAAGTGTCGCGACACACACCCGTCGGGTATATGCGAAGCTATCGTCGTATCAAAAAAACCAAAGTCAATAATATACCTCGTACAAGAGACGGAGTGTACCTTGAATTGTCATGCTCATAGATAAGACAGTATCGGTTTTTGCCGTTGATGAGTACAGTGTGGGCTGCAATCCACGTACGCGCGCCATTACAGAAAGAGACAATGAACGTAATAAGCGAAATAAAGTAAGATGCATAACTTAGCTGACAAGGCCACTCAAGTGACCAGCAATAAACGAAACGAATTCTATTTCAATGCTCACACCACCAGTGCTCACACAGACGTGTAATAAACGTGCATCCACCGTTAGAGATGGCCAACCGAACGCCCCTGGTGCTTTACACCAACAGAAACTGCCCATGTAAGACTCTGCAACCCAATCTGAATCAATATAGCGAGGCCTAACAAACAGAAGGGGCGCACCGCGCCCATATAGTTCTCGCTGAGCTCGGAATCCCGTATGAGGAACACCATATTGACTACAGTGTGCCCCGGTCCCCGCAATATCTTCAGATCAACCCCCGGGGTCAAGTTCCCACCCTCGTCTGTGGTGACCAAATCATCCGGGAATCCGCCATCGCAGCGCAGTTCCTCGCCGATTCCGTCCCATCAACACACTTAACACTTCGCACAGGCGATATTGCCGGAGCATTGATGCGTGCGCGGATCGCATTCTTTGTTGAAACGTATTTCTCCAAAGCCAACAAATACTACTATCCTGCTATTGAAGCGACAACAGACGAGGAGGCAGATTCTCTCGGTGCTTTGTTTGCGGCTGCAGTGTCTTCGGAAATTGAACCGCTTCTGCACGATGCCGCTCCCTTCTTCGGCGGCAGCGAGAAATTGACAATGGCAGAGGTGAGCCTTTTTTTGTGCTGTCCACTAACGACGGCGACTTGTAGTAGCTAACCGTCATAGGTACTAACTGCATCGTTCATCTTGCGTATTTTCACATTGCCAACCGCCGAAAACCCTCCATTGCCGTTGACAATGATTTTGGGTCTTAATTCAAAAGCGCCTCGGTTTTACAGTTGGGCCCAAGCTGTTTTGACCCACCCATCCGTCAACGGCATCTACAGCCTAAACGGCTGCGCTGCGGAAATGCAAGAGAGACGGGCCAAGGCGAGAGGCTTGTTGTAGTTAACAATGGCAACAGCCATCCATATGGTTATCGCTCCTGGCAGCCGTGAAGTTGGCACAAAATTGTATTGTACAATCAAGGACAAAGGCACACAGCACAATAAACAAGAAACGATCCCCCCAACATTGGTGCTTTTGAATAACGCTGCAGTGCATCGGCGCGAAAACAATGCTGGCAAATAGATATGGTTGTAAAAATCTCGTTAAGAAGGCACGATCCAGCAGCACATCTTGAGAAATATGCGGAGGGGAATGCAACCTCACTGCCCATCCATCCGTGCGTTACTTTCAGGCCCGGCTCGCATTCTTATTAGAACACAACGGCACCTACTTCGTACATTCAATGTAGCATACTATTTGTTGTGCTAATAGACATGTAATACTGTCAGTGCGGTGCTTGATCAGGGGCGTTGAATTTAATTGAATCTAGCCACGCTGCTGATTATCTGGGAATCATATGATTATTCATGCCAGGTCGTGATACTCAATGTCCATACCCAGAACCATCCCCTGGAGCTCCGGCCACTGTGCGGCCGAACTTAAAAGCTCACTGAACGCAAAGCAGTCAGTCATGGCTGACAAGGCGGTACCTCCACCCACACCGTCTTCCACGGACGGCATAACCCGCTTGGAGGGCTGCACGTTCTGGAGCAAGTCGTTTAGTTGTTGCTCAAACTCCCGGCGGCTCTGCTGCACCTTTTCGGCATCGTAGGTAATCAGCCAATTGATTGTTGCTGACGAGAGTGTGTCAAAAACATCGCGACACCCGGCAGCGCCATGCAATGTCTCGGACATTGCGAAGAGTGTTGATGCACACGACTGAAGCGTTTGGATGCAGCTGCCTGTCGAAAGGCTGTCGCGGATATCTTTTGAGTGCCAGAGACAGTAGATGACGCTCAGGCCGGCCATGAACAGTTGATGGACAGCACGCCATAGCACGTCGACGCGCCCATCTCGCTGCAGCACTTTTATACTGTTGATCATCTTGCAGCTTGCGTCAAAAGAGATCGCCAAACTCTCCGCAGAAACTTGAGACACCATAGAATTCGGTCGGTGCAGGAGGAGAAGGGCATTGTTGTAGACGGTGTCCCAGTACGCTTGGCAAGCGAAAATGGATAGTGGGTGAGCCTTGTTAATTTCGGGTATCGTTGTGTACCACTCTTGCAAGCGAGGCCCTATGTCTTGCAACCAGACCGCGTAGTTGGCGCGCGGGTAGGCAATCTTCACTGACCACGATTGAGAGTGCTGCACGTGCATGATTTCGGACTCGAGATGGGTCATCTTAAAGACGTGATTCAGGGCGCGTTGGCTGTGAATGCCAAATTTGTCATCCGGCGACAGTTCATCAACCGGGCGGCAGGTGGCAATTGTCACCCATGGGTTTGGCAGCTCTACCCGTATGCTCTCGTCGATTATGCCAAACGGGCGGCCCAGCGTGATGCTAAGAAAACGGTCGAACTGGTAGGTAGTGTACCAAAGACGGCGACGATCACGAAGGACAGCGGGATCCATGGTCAGACGCTGCTCGTCCGTTTCCCAGTGTAGGCCTATGTCAATGCACATGCGCAAGGCAATGCCTGTGAGGTGCCATAGGCTGCCCTGCGATGGACAAAGAGCCACAAACTGGGCAAGAAGGAGTATCGACCGCAGAGTCTCGATGTCGCTCTTTGCATATACGATGGCGCGCTCGACGCTCGCTATGGCGGATCTGAAACAGCCTTCACTTTGAACTGGCCGACCTTTTCCTGATGGCCCAGGAACGCCGCAGAGTGCAATGGCAAATATCATATATGTGGTGAATACGTCTTTGTCGTTTTGTTCAGAATCCGAACCGCCACTGCTACCACGATATGCGCCGTTGATGGCATTTGTCGCATGCGACCGCTCGAGAATGGGCAGGTGCGGTGTAAGGTGTTGAAAATATGTTTCAACAAGATGATCAGCCGCCTGACGTGGTGGCAAGGAAGCTTCCTCGGCCATCATGCTGGAGAATGATCCATACGGACGGCTGTGTGACTGAGAGGGCGAGGGCAGTGCATCAACACGAATGGCTGCCATGACGAGTTTAGCGAGAGTGATACCGCCACCTTGACCGAGAAATCGAGGTTGTCTTCCAGTTGGCTCCACGACAACATCGCTGACACTTTGCACCAAGTTGAAAAGATGGTTCGGCTGTCTTTCAGTCAAGCTTTCCGACTGCGACACTCCGAATATGGCCAGATCACTCGTTGGCGGTGATTCGGTCTCGGCTGATGTTGCAGATGTTGTCCGCACCCGCTCTTTCAGTTCTGCGTTTTCTCTGGTCAGTTGTGCCAGTTGTGCTTCTAGGTTGGCAACATAGTTTCGTGGGAGCTGGAACGTAGTTAGCGTTTTCGTTCCCGCGATATTTAAGTCCCGGCCTGCCCTGTGCATTACCTCCGTGTCTTTGCCCAGGTGGTATGTCAAACATGCAGCACCAACCGTGGCGCAGTTTGTGCAACTGGGATACTTGAGATCGCACTACGGGGGAAGCCGACAGTCAGTTTGTGCGTGCTAGCTGTAGTGGATAACATCCTTGGCAAATCTGGCCAAGATACCTTTTGCTTTCGTCGGCGGCATCTGGAAACATAGTTAAATGCCATATCCAAGTATATCATTGCCATCAGTGAAGGGTCTTACCTCTGACATGCATTGATACCACGAGCAATTCGGTCGTGCACGCGTGTGTGCGGGTGAAGCCGAGATGTGCCATGGTCTGCCATGCTCTCGTATGTTGTGGTTTCAAAGGGATAAAGGCTCAGGGCAACGATTTCAAAACGATTGGCATTGTCAACGGACAGATCATTCTTGAACTCCACAGTGGCAGTGGCAGTCGGATTTATTTGAGAAACGGTGTAAGATAGCAGATGCGTCGGGTTTGTCCGATCGGGCTAATGCGGGTTCTATTGCATGGAAAGGTTCTTATCATAACTTGGGATTGATAAGGCTAACGTGCTAGTCATGCATAGATAGCGATACACACCCAGGCACTGTTGTGATGCCGCCAGTGGTTCGTTTAGACCGAACTGGTATGATTGCACATTATCTAAACTATGACAAACTTGTAACACACCTCGCAGCCCAAACATACTAATACGCATTCTTATCAAGACATGTTGAACTGCCTATCGCAATAGCCACTGTATCGTACCGGCAACACCTTTTCAAGTCGGCTTGAAGCGACACATGCTCTCGTTCAGATGTGCCAACGAAAGTTGCAATCAATAGATATGGCGATGATGCGTCGTCGTATTTGCACACGCCAATACCAAATCTCGCCAAATATTTTCTCCATTTGTTATCGACCAGCCCAGAGGACAGTGGGCTCAGTACAGATTAAGCCTCGCCAGTATACTTAAAGATTATTTCGTCTTCGATCTCATTGTGACATTTACAATAGAATAAACGAGTTTCAGATGTGCTAGACGAACAACCACGAACCGCACAACAGCGTCTCTTAAAGGATAATATTGATTTTCGCACATTCCAACCACAGACATGGCTACCGAGCCCGCCAAAGAGGTCGATGTTAAGACCACGGCCATGAATACGATAATTGATGACTGCGCAGAGGGCGAAAGTGCGGCGATCTATATTGACCCAAAGAAAGAAGCAGCAGCGCTGGCGAAATTCGACAAGACGGTGCTGCCCGTATCCATGATTTTTTTGATTTTATCTAGCCTTGATCGTAACAATGTAAGTCCTCCTGTCTGCCCTTTTTTCAATTTCCTTCTATTCTAACGGTACAATTCCTTAAGCTCGGCAACGCCCGTGTCTTTGGATTCGATGCTGACATTGGCCTCACTGGCGGCGACTTTGGCAATATAACGACACTATCTAGTGTTTGCACCATTGTTTTTGAACTTCCGTGGGTTCTTGCCGTCCGTCGTTACGGTGCGAACAAGGCAATTGGGACTGCGTTTGTTTTGTGGAGTCTGTGTACGCTGGGCACTGCATTCATCCACACTTACGGCCAGGCCATCGCCTGTCGTATGCTGCTCAATGCAGCTGAGGCGGGCCTTGCACAGAGTTTTGCGTACCTGTTTTCAACCATATATCCGCGGGAGACGGCTGGCAAACGCATCATGACGACCAACCTCGCACAGTGCATCTCCGGCTCATTTGGTGGACTTTTTGCATACGCTGTCCAGACAATGGGCGAACGCCGGGGCCTTGCAGCTTGGCGCTGGCTGTTTATCATCGAGTTTTGTATCACGATCGTCATTGGCGGCATTGGCTGGCTATTTATTCCCACGTCTGCCGAGTCAGCTTGGTTCCTGACCAAGGAGGAAAAGGAGACCATGCGACTAAAGAAGCAGCGCGATATTATGCACCGAGGCGACACCAAGTTTGAGCGCAAGTGGATCCGAATTGCGCTGTTGGATCCCTTTGTGTGGATGTTGGCCATCGCCTTCTTTACGTCGTCCATTGCAATCAACGGGTTTGGCGTCTTTTTGCCGACCATTCTTTCTGGCCTTGGGTATGTGCCGTGCCACCAGTTATGTAAATGTGAATGCAGCCGCAGAAGCTAACAACAGAAACAGGTTTGCCTCGTTGACTGTGAACTATCTCACAATTCCAGTTTATATGTTGGGCGCAATCTCGCTCGTGATTCAGTGCTATTTTTCCGACAAACTCCGGCAGCGTGGTGTCTTCATTATCGCATCATGCATCCCGGTATCTGTGGGATACCTTATTTGTGTCGGCACTTCCAATCAACATGCCGGTTACGCTGGCATGTTCATTCTTGTGTTGGGTAAGTGTGATTCGATGCCCCAACTTCTTTTTGAAGGCAGACTTCCGGCCACAGGTATAATGTAGTATTCAGCAACCAAGGATGTACTACTAACTTTGACAGGTCTTTATTCTATCTCGACACTGGCCGTCACTTGGATATCGACCAACCTGTCCCCAGACTCTAAGCGCGCCATTGGTATGCCCATTGCATACTCCATTGCCAACATTTCCGCTGTCGTGTCTGGGCAGCTGTATCCTGACCAGCAAGGGCCACGGTACGTCCCCGGCAACGCAATCTCGGCGGGCCTCTCGGTCGTTGCAGGACTTTTGTATGCCTCCTGCTATTTTTTGTTGCGGCACCGCAACGCCAAGAAAGCCAAGTTGCTCAACGAGGGCACGACGACCAACGGCTTGGAAGGAGACCAGAGTCTCGAGTCAATGTATATTCTTTAATGCCGCAATATATAGAAAGCAGGATTCGGGTCAGCAAATGGAGAGCATATGACGCGATGATGCCATTACATAAGCTGCACAGTTTAAACGCAAGGACAAGATCCAGGCAACAATAAGCGCCTTTTTGGAATCTCTCAAGTATATTTGATAACTTTTTTCAAACCATGTGGTGTTTTACTACAATCTGAGGGTTGTTGCATATCATCAACCTATCAAAGAGTCCTGCAGCTGTCTTAATGTATCATCATACTCCCCAGTAACCCAGGGGAATTGACCTATTCTGGCTCGCCAACCCAAAATTCCCAATTTCCCATTTCCGGGGTCACCCGCAATGATTTTGCCGAAGTGGCTTTGCAGTTTTGACCAGCATATACTGCCAATTGAGTCTCGTACTGGCGCGGCATCCGCGGCAACTACACTTCCAGCTGTAATTATGGCCCACAAATGCAGACCCTGAAGTTCCATCACCGCCAAACTCATCTCAGGTTCGGCAGAGGCTTCTAGCATGCAGTTTAGTTTCGAGGCAAGCTGTAGGCCGTAATGTGTCTTTGGGGGCATTTCTTTGAGCGTCGTAAGTGAGAAAAACAGGAGAGCTATACGGCATATTTCTTGAGTATGTCTCTCGGACACACTTGGGACAGCTGTGATAAACTGTCGTAGTGCGTTGGAGAGCAGCGAGTACTGGGCCCCGGTCAATAAATATCGTATCCGAGTAGCGGTTGCCTCATTTTGGCTGTTGATAGTCGAATTTCCTTTTGAAAGCCCCGTAGAATGACGTTTGGCAGATGGAGTACAGTATTTTTGATACAAAAAGACTGCTTCGTCAATCTGAGACAGGCACCGAGATATTATGGGATTGTGTGAGCATACCGCCAAAAGATGACCAAATCCGTCATTGTAGAAAGTATGAGACAAACCGGGCAAAAGACCCGGAGAAAGAGGACCGATGAGAAGACTGCACGCCGAATTTCCGTCAAAGTAAGTTGGCTGATCGCTCTCCAGCGAACCGTATAGATCAGCGCTGTTGCAACACGTCATCAGCTCAGGACACGGGGAGACCATTGAATAAAGAAGGAAAGTACACCTACCGAAATATCTTCTGCAAGACATACGGCTGCTCATAGATACGTTCAATCCCCCCGTAACAGTGGACGAGCTGCTTCAGACCCTCCATATGCACCTTCCAATTGTCGGGATGATCTCGACCTCGCTGGCAAAGTTAGATGGGTGGCATAAATAGGCATTGGAGTACAGACTTTGTGAGATCCCCACCTCGAACATGGCAATCCCCGCCACCATGATAATTGTGCTTGAATCGATTTTCCCCGGTGTGTCTTGCTTCCTTTGCACAGTCGTTTCTGAGATTCGCTTGTTGACAATGGAAATGGCACGGTGCAAATGCCAGAGCGAGAGGGCACTGTTGTTGTTGCGGGCGAAGTAGCATAGAAATGTGTCGGCACAGCTGACGAATGTGTGCATCAGGGCTGGGTCAGCAAACCCCAATGGAAGACCATACTCTATGAACGGATTGAACCCAACAGCCCATTCTAGCGTGTACAGAGTTCTCCAGACGGTTGTACTGACTTGACTTTTGTTATTAAGCTCCACAATGACATGGGAGTGCGAGTGTAATGACAAGCCTGAACATACGGGACACAAGTAGATCATGCATGTACGGTTCGAATTGAACGGGAAGCGTGTTGAAGGGATCCACACCATCGATCTGGCGAATGTTGTACTGGTGAACAAAGCCGGAAACACTCAAGCCAGCTCCTGCACCATTGATTCTCCGTTGTTGGCGGCTCAGTTCGTTGTTTAATTCCGAGGTCCTTGATCGAGCATTTCGGCGAGCGTGGCTGCGGATTCGGTCCTGTGAATGGACGTCAATGAGTCGAGTCCTTGGAGACAAATGGATAAACTCAAAGTGGGTTGTCTGCGCCGTCGTCCTTTGTCTGTCGTCTCTGCTTCGTACAGTCGCCTGTTTTGATTTGTCACCTAGTCCGAAAGCATCAGCAAAAGTACGCCGTAATTTATTTATGACAAATGCAAGTAACAACCAACCTCTGGGACGACCACGCTTCCACGGACCCGGAACCTTCACAGGCCCAGCATGGTAAGAGAATATGGCCTTGGGCTCCGACTCGCCCGAAATCTCCGAATTTGCTGCCACAGGGAATACAATTTCAGCCGGGTTGAGGGCCATATTGATGGGAAGGACGTCCTGTACGAAGGTACATTTGAAAATAGATATGATACGATGCAAGTAAGAAGAAAAGCTTAAAACCGCAAGAGGCTGGACGACAGGGTTAATAAATATTTTGGTTTGAAGGGAAGCCGAGTGGCAGTTCGCTAAGCCGAATTTGGTATATGACATACAAAAAATTCAGCCGAAATGGGTTAGCGCAAACGTGCCACGTTGTAGCCTTCCTTAACTCCTGGTCCAAAGTCCGATTGGGCCTGTCGTAAAAGTTTCGAGAGAGAACGACAAAATAGGAAACTGACATGTTCGAAATGTGTCTCATTTGGGTATAGTTTTGAATGATACTGCCATTAAATTTGCTGAACATTGTGCGAAACTCTCCTCGTGTAGTCACGATGACTGGCAGTTTCCCTTTTGATGGTCGATTAAAAAAACCCGACACCCCTCCTACAATTCGAGAGCAAGACTGCACATTCCTTTTGTCAATCGCAGACCATCACCCTCAAGACAACAATTGCCGCTCCTGGACATCGTAAGAAATTTTATTTTCCCCTTCATTAAATATCCACTATGCCCAACTACACGTCCAAGACTACTGGAGATGAGGTGGCGCGGGACTGCAAGTCCCAAATTGCCAACAAGACCATCTTGGTCACGGGGGCCACCCCCGGCGGCCTGGGTGCGACATTCGCAACTACGATTGCACCTTACGGCCCGGCGGTGATCATTCTTGCCTCCCACAGCGTGGTCAAGGCCGGCGATACGGCAAAGGCCATCGAGGCTATCTCACCAGATGTGAAGACTATTGTTATTGAGCTAGATCTTGCCTCGATTTCTCAGGTCCGCAAAGCCGCCGAGAATATTCTAGGCTGTGTGGACACGATCGATGTCATCGTCAACAACGCCGGAATTATGGCAGCGCCATATAGCAAAACCGTGGACGGTATCGAATCGCAGTTTGGGACAAACCATGTCGGTCATTTCCTATTGACCAACTTGCTGCTGTCTTCAATATCCCGTGACAAGAAGAAACGGCCTTTACGTGTCGTCAACGTCTCGAGCAATGGCTTTCGTTTCAGTCCCGTCCGCATCAAAGACATTAGTTTTGACGTTAGTCATCCTGCCACTGACAAAATTGAGTTCACAAATAACGGAGCTAACACTATTAGGATGGCGCTACATACGATCGGTGGACAGCTTATGGACAGTCGAAGTCTGCCAATATGTTGTTCTCCCGATCCCTCGCGGCGAAACTCGGTAGCCGTGGTGTCATATCTATCAGCCTCCACCCAGGTGTCATTATAGAGACAAGTCTCTCCCGTCACGTTGCCATGGAAGACTTCGCCGAGCTTGGCGTCTTGGATCGAAAATTGGGAAACCGCGAGTTTTGGGACCAACCGTTTATGCTAAAGTCTCCGGCGGAGGGCGTCGCAACACACATTTTTGCAGCTTTCCACCCGGCCCTCGAGAAACCGGAGCATAACGGTGCTTATCTGGAAGACTCGCAAGTCGTTGATGCCAAACAGATCCAAAGTTGGGCTAGAGATGCCGTGGAGGCTCAAATGTTGTGGCGTCTCAGTGAAGAGATGGTGTCAGAGACATTCTCCTACTGATGCTATTGAACAAGCCGCATCAGGTTTTTGCATTGGCAGTCCTATTTTGATAACAGGAGACTGGAATGAAGTCGGTATTCGCTTAGTGGCATCGCAGATATCGGGTGTTTCCAATTGTTCTTCATCACAATGCGGGCGTTACAGTTTATAGTTAATTGAAGAGCTACTTCTCTTACATATACGGAGGTGATACTCCGAAGTACCATATACAGAAATACCTCGACGTAACACGCCTTTCCTTTTGGATTTGTGCCTCTGACAATGATTTAGCGAATTCTGAAAAAAACTGACCTCGATAGATGCGAGGGTGGATGTGGGCGATTTTCTCGACGGCCCACTGTATCTGCACTTGTTCTGTGCTCTCAATTGCATACAGGAAGAGCGCTCGAAGAAACCCGCCGTTCACATTATTCTCGCTGCCTTGGTTCCCAAAAGTCGACTCTCTTTCAACGGTTTCTCTGATCTTGAGAAGCGCGTCTCGAGAGTCGGGTAGCTTTGACAGCGGGTCACCCAGCTGCCGGCCAATCTCCACGAGCTCAGCAAAATATGCTGCGTTGCATATTGAAATAAGCGTTGTGAGTCGACTGGCGATGGTAGGAGCAAGCTGGGCGCGTAACTCGTCTGCCAACTGAGACTGCGTCACTGACCGGCTTTCCCATAAAGCATGAAGCTGGGCCTTGAGACTAGCCATACGGTTGACAACCTCCTGCTGGTCCCTGCTTGTCGTACGCGAGCGGTGGTAGAGTGTCAGCTTCGCGATCTGCCGCGACAATTCTTGGAGACGGCAGTAGAAATGAAAAATGGGGCCACTGAGCAGCTGATACAAGTAGTTTGAAGCATCTGCTTCATGGCCGGGTGGTGAATCGACGTCTGGAATTGGGCCATCGTGGCTTGGAAGCAGGCGAAAGACACGTTTCGATAAAAGCCCTGTGGCTCCACCGCGCGTCGTGCTGGACTGCAGTATTTTCAGCCACGCAACAATGCGTAGAGCCAGCTTTGAGTGTGACGAGACGTCTTGAGACCATGTCTCTAACCTTCTGACGAGCAGCGGACTCGGTTCTTGCAGATGCGGTGTTAGGTCGCCTGCATGGATGAACTCGAATAAGCACAGCAGGAATATCGCAACCAAAGTGAGGTCGAAGTGTTTGCCATGATCGTTGAGGAGATCATCCACATGCCGCTTTGCAGAATAGTAGTGAGACTGGGCACCGCTAAGGGGGAGAGCATATAGGTGGCCCTTGTATAGCGCCGAGACAGCGGTGATGCACGAATGAATCGCCGGACAGGATTGTCCAAAATGCACAATGTAGCGCTTCGCAAGTTCCCAGTTGCAAGAGTCAAATGGCGTGATGCCAGGGCACTCTACATGTTCGAGAAACAGTGTAGTCATATGTGGCGACTCAGTTCGCAGCGCCAAGACGTCGATGGTCACAGTGAGCTCGATGTCCCGGGATATCAAGGCCATGGATGTATCACCACCATTTAGGCTGGACTCAGAGCTGAACGTAGCTGTCGTTTGATCTGGTGGAGTGCCGTCGGCTCCCACGCTCGTATCGGTAATCACATTGCTGCCACTGCTGTGCGTGTGGATTGTTCGCGTAGACTTCCACGGGACGAACGTGTCCACGCTTCGAGGAGTTTCGGGGCTATCCTGATTGTCCGGGCATGTTGCAACCAGAGGCCCGTGAGAGAGACGGTATGACGTAACACGTTGGCTAGTCCTACTAATGTTTTGCGGTGTTTGCTCCAGCTGCCCACCCGGTGCAATAACAGAAGACTGCCGTGCTTTTGCGAGCTTGTATACGCAGTCGCGTTTGAGTCTTACGCAATTGCTGCATGACGGCTTCGTCTCGTCACATTTGACTTTACGGGACCGACAAGTAAGACAGCCGCTCCGAACACGGATAAAGTGTTTATGCTGGCTTGACCTTTGCATAATGGCCGTGTTGCTGGCGAGGAAGACGGGAGATCAATATGTGCTGAGGAGCGGGTCGATGTCAAGGCCACATGTCAGGGCTAGCCAGTTGTAGAGCGAGCTTTCGGTGCGAGCCGACAATGGGTCGTTGTGAGGGTCGTTGCTGTGAGGTCGGCTGCATGCTAAGCGAATCGGCAACATACGTACGTTAAATCCTGAACTGGACATATATAGACCGTTTTGTGTTGGTAAACCCGTTGAATTAAATATCGTGTGACAGTACCCCAAAGTTCGAGGTTCTCACGTCGACTGGAAATCCAGACGTGGGGAACTTACCGAGCTGGACATTGGACTTGTTGCCGACCTCGTTCACGTCTGGCTGTGCTCGTGTGCCAAAGACTGACACGGATTGGTCAGTTTGGCCTGGCTATTTTATTTAGAGTATGTAGTGGAGCTAGCGTCATTGGGAATTGTCCACGAAGCCTCAGGGGCGCTGTCGCCTCCCAGGGGTGGATTTACTTTTATTTTTTCAACGCTTTTCAGTCAATGCTCGGTTGGGAATGGAATGACTTCACTTTATCTCGCTTATTCTTGCCGAGCCGTAATAAATATGTACGATTGATTTGGGAGCGGTTTCGAGAAGCGAAGAGGATGGCTCCACTTCTTGTTACTACCGACGCCCGCCTTGCCTGCATGGCACTGGCGGAGAAGCCAAAATTGGCGCACGTGGCTTAAGCACCTTGGAACTTTGATCACCACGTTGAGGATTACGGTTCGATAATGAAGCTGTGTCGTCGCCCATCTCAAAGGCGAAGATTGATCATTTATTTTTTATAGAAATCTAGGTTTCTAGCTAGACTTGCCGCAGTTCAAGTTTCTCCCATATTCTTTTGCAACTGTCGCGAAAGTATGGGTTTCCAGCTCTCCAGATTCCTGACCTCAAGGCCCTCGATCTTGGCTTCATCGTCCCAGCGCCTCAGCTGGCACATCTCTTCGCACCACTCCTCAGCACCGAACGTGTCTCGCTCGTCATCGTTCATCGGACCTCCTTGGTAGGCAAGGCTCCTCTTGCTCGCATCAGATAGCTTGTCCATGTAGCTGTGATCGACTGCGCATAAGTAACGCTTCGCTGCGACGTGGGATTCCACGAGGCGAACCACCTTCTGCGAGAACCCGAGTGCCAGGAGAAATCGACCTCCCAGGGTCTCGTGTCCGACCCGTCCCACACTTTGGCCTGCCGGCTGGCCTCCTAGATTTTGGATGGTACTGGCGCCAGCAAGCTCGCGAAGATCTGTGGCCGGTGCATACTGCCCGATATCGTGGAGCAGGGCAGCAACCTGTGTATCCTCGTCCACAGGTGGAACTGCTGAGGCGGCCTGTGCGGCACATTGGAGGGAATGTTGGAGCTGGGAAATTGGCTCGCCGATGTAAGGTGTGTTTTCAGAAGCGTGGAGAATGCGTATGATGTAGTCGACAACGGATTCCGGTGTATGGTTTGTCGGAAGGCCCATGGTGAAGACTTTCCCTTCGTGGGTGGTTATAGACGGTGGTTTGGAAACTGACGTGATGAATATGCAGTTTTGCTTGTACTGTAAGTGGGCGTCGAGTATTGAGGACGGACAGGATTAATATATATAATATTTATGTGGCTTCTTACGGACGGGAAAAGGGCCATTTTAAGGTAGACTTCGGCTAATTGACGAGTTGGATTTTGTCGGTCGGCTGCCGCATTTCTAGGGACATGACCTTAGCTCCCGTCCCCGTAACCCAAAATCATATACAATGTAGTTCTAATTACGTCACTGGATGAAGGATGTCGCACGAATGATTTTCATGCCAACAGTTAAGAGATCAAGCTGTCAACGTGTCCGGTGCTAGGGCCGCGAAATATGGTATATATTTTATACAAATTCCACGTCTTGTCAAATGTATGCAAGAACGTTATGGCTCTGGCTCCGGTATAATTGTACTACGACCGAATCGCACTTTCGACTAAAACGTGACCTGCTTCCCTTCGCCAACACTGAGCATTGGTGAACCAAAACCGTAGGTCAGTGCGCCCGTCGCATACGATTCTCCCTCTTTGCGCATATGTGTCGCCGGCCACTCCTTTCCTCTATGTTCGTAGTATCCCTTGCGCAGATCACCCTCGGATGATTGGTTGTAGGTGGCGTAGATGGCCTTTCTGTCGGAAGTGCTTTTGTTGGCGCCGCTGCGGTGGGCTACATAGGAAGTGAAAACGAGAAGCTGGCCTAATCCATTGAGAATAATGTCAGTGCATGTAAGTACGTACAGCCTCTCGCTTTAAAAGTTAATCACGCACCGGCTTCGAGCTCAACCGGCGTCCACGTGTGGGAATCCACCCAGGTTGACTCGATGCAGTTTGTGGCAGGGTCGATGGGGACGTCCATTTTATGACTTCCATCAACGACCTCCAGGCCACCATTCCGAAGGTTTGATGGGTCCACACTCAAAAGAATTGTCAGATGCTTGACACGCTTGATGTGAGTGTAGGCAACGGCATCGATGTGAGGCGCAAAGCCACCTGTAACTCGTTAGTAATCCACACCCAAGGCAACCGCCATCGACATTACCACGCGCAACGTTTCCGTCGTTCATACCACTTCCTGATAGCTTGTAGTTGATTTTCTCTTTGAACAATTGCATGGGCTCTCCAGAAAGGCATTGCAAGAGATCCTGCAGCGTAGAACCTCGAAGCAATTCTTTGAATCCTTGGTGGCAGTCCGCGAAATTTTCCGTCCGGCAGAGAACAGTATGGCCTTTGTCGTTGACCTCCTGTAAACATGTTAGATATTAAATGATTCAGTTTGTAAAACAAAGAATAGATAAAGTCTGACCTCATAGGGCATGAACTCGGATGTGTCCGTTGGCACCCAGTCATGAACCTCCTGGGCCCAGCGTTGTATATCTGCGACTTGTTCGGAAGATAGGAAATCACGAACGATAAGATATCCGTTTTCCTTAAAGAAGGCAACTTGGTCGTCGTCTAGAACCATGGTGGCGGAATAAGGTAATCGAAGGCAGAGACAGGCGCAAAAAGGCAGGAATTAAACGACCAAATGTGCTTGTTTAGAAAATGGATGTTTGTGTAAGAGTGTGTGTGTATGTTCTTCAAATTCGAGCGGCGGAAAATGCGATGGCATGTCCAATATAAATCTTTATACAACACACGCACTCTACAAGATAAGTTGTCATAAGTAAATTTTCTTCCAAATATGGTTGATAGACTGCCATTGAATGCTTTTCGTCGTAAATATGCTTGTTATGCCCCGGTCTTCGTCACACTTTTGTGGAAACGAGGACTCCTGTTTGGCTGTCGCTTATTCGGCTAACGGCCGTCGCTTGCATTGCACATCGCTAAGATCAACGGCACTAAAATATGGGACAGGGTCGCACTTGTCCCGCTTATGTAAAGTGCATTTTATCTGGCGACCATCTTGGAAAACGCAAAAAAGAATGAGCACCCAATAAATATACCCACGTGGGCTTGGATAGTGCTGATAAGCTCACCATGCTCTCGCAGTCGATGTTGTTTCTTGAAAGATGATTGGGGCATTCGCAGAACCGAATGGCTTGCTTGAAGACAGTGTGATGGTCACAACATCGACCAGACATACATCTTGGTACCCAGTGGACGTTTCTCAACTACTTAAGCTCGAAGGAAAGTCTCGAGCTTGCAATTTCAATCACCGCACATAATTCAACCACCCGCTTAGATTTCAAGTTTATTTCTGGCTAATATTTCCTCAACTCGCATCTCGAATACAATGGACGAATTTGGTTCCGAACCCAAAACAACCATGGTGGTCAACGAAGCTATCGACAATGAACTACCGGTAGAGGGGAATGTCGCCGACCGCGTCACAAAACGTTCTTCCATTACCACGGTTGTGGTCAGCGGTGTGGCGTTGTTTTCGGATGGTTACAATGCGCAGATCATTGGATATATGAACCTTATCCTAGCAGAGCTTTACCCGGTAGCCTTCACCAGTATTATCAAAACGCGGCTTTCCAATGCGTACCTCATCGGCGAGATCTTTGGTATGCTATTTTTTGGCTATGCAATTGACCGGCTCGGCCGTCGCACCGGCATTATCTTTGCCACGCTTTTCCTCGTGCTCGGCATTATCATCGCAACGGCTGCACACGGAACGACAGATCTTGGCATGCTCTGGATGATGATCATTGGCCGAGGCGTCTCAGGCTTCGGTGCTGGTGGTACGTCAATACAACCTCTTTGTCCATTTCTTACCGCTTATATAATGTAATTCACACCGGATCAACATATGTAGGTGAATATCCCACATGCGGCACGGGCAGCACAGAGGCGTCCGACGAGACCGCGTATGGCCGCCGTCGGCGAGGTATGCTTGTGGCTGTCGCAACAGACTTTGCGATCGACTTTGGCTTCGTCGTTGCGGGCATCGTGGCGCTGATCGTCTTGGCTGCGTACCACCAGAACCTTGGTGACGGTGTGTGGCGCGTCTGCTTCGGTCTCGGATTCATCTTGCCCGTAACACTCGTATTTTTCCGCCTCAGCCGGTTCCAGTCAACCCAGTACCGAAAGCATGCCATGAAGAAAGACATCCCGTACCTACTAGTGATCAAGCGTTATTGGAAGCCTATGCTTGGGACATCGCTGGCTTGGTTCATGTACGACTTTGTGGTACGTATCTGCTAGCCCCGGGCGCAATGGCTCCATCGTCCCTTTTTTTCCGACCCACGCTTACCCGTTGCAAACACCCAGACCTACCCGTTTGGTATTTTCAGCTCATCCATCGTGTCCACATTGAATCCAAACAACACAATTACACAAAACATCGGCTTCGGAACTGTTATCAACTGCTTCTATCTCCCCGGGTGCCTTGTTGGCGGTCTACTCATGGACTGGATCGGCCGCAAGCAGACGATGACTCTGGGGTTTTTCCTGTGGGCCATTTTGGGATTTATCATTGGGGGCGCCCTCGGTCCCATCCAATCCGTTTTCCCTCTCTTTGTAGTGCTTTATGGCATTTTCAATGCGTTGGGCGAGATGGGTCCCGGCGTACGTATCTACCAGCCGTGCAACTGCAAACAATATTGAATACATACTAACGGGCAGACAGGTGGCAACATTTCTTTGTGGTGCTGAATCGTTTCCCACGCCCCTGCGTGGTCACTTTCTGGGTCTCGCAGCAGCTGTGGGCAAAGCCGGCGCAGCAATTGGCACACAGGTGTTCACACCAATCCAGAACTCGTTCCCCGACGCCGAGAAAGGTATCCAGGGTGTTTTCCTCATTGGTGCGGCATTTGCTGCGGTTGGCGGTCTCATCTCATGGTTTTTGATCCCTTCCATGGACAAGGAGCTGGAGAACGAGGATACTCGCTTCCGCGTCTATCTGGAGCAGAATGGGTTTAAAGGGTCGTTCGGAGATCTGTCAACAGTCAACTAAGGGTAGATACGTTTCCGGTAGGTATTACTGGTATCGTTCCTACATCAGCAATTAATTAAGCTAAAATACTTACTTGGGTCGGTCTATTTTTTCTTCCGGGGGTAAGGGAAAGGGACTGGGGAATACGTAGCCTTCAAATACACAAGAGGTGTTGTGTATAAGAGCCTATACTTGTCACATTTTTCCTGCTGTTGCCATTGCGGAATTATTATATACGTTGACATATGGATTGACAATAGGATTCGATCATACCAAAATTTGCACCTTGGAAACACATCATGCCAGTACATAGAAACGGACTGGCATGGAAGACCAATACGCACAAATAGCACTAGCCTAATATCCCCACCGCTTCAATGTTTGCTCCAGTGAGTCTTTTGCATTGCGCTTCACAGCTTGGATCCGTTGTGGTCCCATTTTGGCCCGTACACGTGACATATAAAACATGCCCGGACTGAGATTTTGAATGAACCAGTAGAGATCCGAGAGCGTGTCAATGCCCGGCATCAGGTCTACCGGCCGTATGACGCTTTCTACAACAAATGCGGCGTTGGTCTGTTCAATCAACGTCCAGTCCGCCATCGGCGCGCCGGCTTTGTCTTCGTCGGACACAGAGACCAGTCCGTGCAGAAGGGCACGTCGAATCGCATTGGAGGGCGACGTTGGGTCCTCGGGCGTCACGATGTGGAACAGCTCCGGAAACGAGTAAAAGTACTCGTCATACAGTGAGGCCACGTGACTGAAGCTCCAGTCGACTAGTGCCGTGATGCGGCTCGTCTGGGGATCGTAGAGGAAATTCTGCAGGTCTTTTTCCGCCGTTAGTGTCGTGCATCCTATAGTTTTATGCAATTTGAATGAGCATACTCATATCACCGTGAACGAGCACGGGGCGCGGGTTTGCCTCAATAAACCGTCCGAGGAGAGGTTGGAAGCCCCGCTCGACAAAGGCATCAATACGGGCGCGCAAGTCCGGTGTATCCTGCCAGCCCTGCACGACGTCACACATATCCATTCTTTGAATTTGTGTTTGTAAATACCTGTTGGTGTTAGTATGGCATTTCCTCTGGGTTTGGATTACTTGTTGTCACGCACTGATAGTATAGTTCGTGATAAGTGGCACATGCTTTCGTCGCGCCATGGATAGTTGTGGGGCCCGTAGTAACCTGGCCATCATCATCAAAGTTAAAACCACCGTAACCAACAACTGACACCGGAAGCTTGTACTGCTGTAGTAGGTGGAAAATTCGGGTGATGTCTGTCAAGACAGAGTGCTTGGCGGCACGATCTAGTTTTTTGAGCACCTCATCGTTCAGTCCCACGCCGTGCATGTGTTCTTGCAGGATCCAGCCAGAGACCTTTGTGTCCAAATTCACAGAACGCCATCCGTAAATTCGGGGCGTGACGGGCTCATCCAGCGAAGCCAGGGCGATGCGGGCGAGAGAATAAGCCGCCACCTCGTTTTGTACCTGGATGGTGTCGTTGAGATCCGCTCCCGCGTCAGTGAAGCGAAGAATAACGGTCGTGGTGTCGGCAGGCAGCGTCTCCGTTCCTGGTTGCGGAACGCGTTCCTTTTGTACGCCGCATGTGCTTCTTGTGGTGCGGGTACTGGTCTTATTCGTCCTGACGTTCGACCCAGCGGCAATGGTCACGGTATACACCTGGGTATTGTTAGAGCCCAACTGAAGCTCGACGGACTCTACTTGGCGACTAAATTCGGATTGGAGGATGTCATGGATCCACGCCTTGGTCTTGACCGAAATTGTAAGAGTTTTCTTGGCAGACATTTTGTTGGTTTTGGCGTGCAGTGTTGGACTCTTCTGTGGCTGTATTAAACCGAGGATGAAGAACGGTGAAGAATATTACAAGGGAGAGAAGTAGTAAAGAACGAGGAGGGGATTATGATGAAACTTAGTTTATATGATTTTTGAATCTAATGACTGTCATACGGCGCGAAACTGCCCTTTTATTAATTTATATTATAGTCAGGTTGCGACAGCGGTAAATTATGCCCGGTTATTTATATAATAATTTAATACTAATAATTACGACAGGGAATAAGACGTGCGTGAGCCTGAAAAAATGGCTACATGGGTTGTTTCGGCGTGTCCGACTCACATGCCGCATCCGCAGCTTTACTACTCGGTCTCTCATAGATTATTTTATATCTTTTAAATTACGCAGTGGTAAACAGAGACCTGATATGTTACGTGTATCGTTTAGAGAACATGTAAAAAGAGAGATAATCGTAAATGCAAAATACGACGCAAATGAGACAACAACAAGGTAAAATTATTTCGACAACCATCGTTTAATCCTGTAACCACGGTGCGGGCATTGCTGGGGTTATTTTCCGCAGATCTGCGAGCGAGCCCCGGTAACGGTTCTCCTCGGTCCATGAAAGCACAGCAATAAAGTCACGGCAGTTGTGGCGGCTTTCATGACCAAACGTCCAGAAATCCTCAGTGGCATCCAGAGACAGGTCCACGTTACACATCAGAGCCTGCCGGATCCAATCAACACAGTGCAGCGGGTGGTCCATGGGGTCACCGGGGCTTGAGATGCCGGGCAACGGTGGCACGGAGATGCCCTCCAGAGCCCATTTTGTGGCTCTCTGGCAGTTAGATCGCGGTTAGTTAAGTTAACGAGCTAAGGATAGGGGGGTGGTAGACATACCAGGCAGTGAAGGTGGTGGAAGACTCCAACCTGATAAATTACGTGGCCGTCGTCAAGAGGCGATGCTCGGGAAGTTTGAGAAGCATTCAGGTTATTATTTCGTGGAATGCTGATCAGACCCTCGCCATTCGGAAATATGGTGTCCCACAAGGTCTCGTTTGCATTTTCACGCCGATACCCCCAGAGATCAAACACTTCTGTGCTTTTGTATTCCTTCAGATTGTCGTCTTTATGAACTTAATACTGAGTGTCCAACAAAAGGCGAAGCAAATTTCAAAACGCATTTTGGTGAGTAAAAAATAGAATCTCACAGGTAAAATCAGTATCTCTTCGCCACGAGGGGCGCGTCCAGATGGCGTTTAGTAACAAGAAAAGTAAAATAATATGAGCTAATTCGAAGAGGAAGAACCTTAGTCCTCTTCCAAGCCACGACTGCCGTTTGTTCGGTGGACTGTCGATGAAGGGACTTCCTTGTTCATTAATAGAAGGCAGGATCTCGTAGTTCTTGGGCGCCATCATGAAAACCTTTGAATGGTCTGAAACTGGCATCATCGAGAGAGAATGCTACAAGTTGAAGAACTCTCTGGAGTTACGTTTTGTACTTGAATTTTGTCGGTAATCTTAATATACCTACATTACCTAACTGACGACACTCCCTCCCTTCTGTCGGAAAGGCTTTTGTTTATATGGTTTTTAATTAGTGAAACAACTATTGGAACAAAGCGGCAGATATTTCTTCTCCCTTTTGAAAATAACCGGGCCTGACTTTGTTATCGTCAGGTATATTTATATCGGCGCTTGTCCCCGTCTGCCACTTTCGAAGAACAGTACCCGCTTCCCTGTATCTAAATACTACATTTCACAGCTACAACAGTACACACACAACGATGGACTCGGCCCGAAACGACGAACTAAAAGAGCATTTATTGGGCGACTCCTCAAGCGAGAATCAGCTTGAGGGAGGCACAGAGCGGTGCCAGTCCGCAACGTTGCATACTCCGCGGCTCCATTATCTCGTTGTGGTCTCCAACTGCATCGCCTGGCTGTTGGTTGTTTGTCTACTTCTCTCACAGCACATTCTGCCGCTTCCTAGACGGGAATTGTGTCCCGCGCACTTATTGTACAGTACGAAATCCCAATATGCAGCCATTATACCGCAACCATCATTCTTCATGCTGACGAGCTCCTGTACAGCCCCTGTTAAAGATGACATCGAATATGAAGTACGCACCTTCCAGTTGGGTTTCGGTGATAAGCAGACACCCTACCAGGCAGCACCTTCTCCGGAAGTTGAGAAGCTTTGGAGGGATCTCTACAGTAGTAAGAAGTGGTCGTTGTTTGTCTTAAGTTTTAAATAGCGAACCTACGAGTAGCTAATATTTACATATCCTAGCCGGAATACCGAGTCTTATCCCCCTGGACGCAGCATTGCAGCTACCAAACATGACAATTCCATTTCCCCACGATGAAGAGGGTCGCTACATTATCTCGCTGGATGTTTTTCACCAACTACATTGCTTGGTACGATAACAAAATTAGCATTAGCCGAAGAAATAAATTGGGGTACTGCTGACACGTTCTCAGAACATGATTCGAATGGCTCTTCGACCAGACTATTACAAAAGCCACACAGTGTTACAGGACAGAAATTTCGCGCGGCACGATGAAACCGACGAAGAGCTGCTCGGGATGGACCACATTGACCACTGCGTGGACTTGATTCGACAATCACTCATGTGCAATGCAGACACAAGCGTTTTGACCTGGGCATGGGACATCGCGACCAAGACCAATGTACCGCATGTAGATGTGGCACACGTGTGTAAGAACTTCGACAAGATTCAAGTATGGGCGGCTGGCTATTCTGCGCACGGCCGGGAGTTTGATGCCGAATTCGAGACTGCTAATGATACTTTGTAAGTACGCGCCGCGCTCTAAGGACATGGCGGCAATCGAGCCAAAAGTACATCTCAGACTGATAAAATTCAATTGTTCTTCGAAATGTAAAATTAGGAAACGATGAATAGCCGGCCAAAATTCGCCAACAGCCAATAGCCAGAAACTCATACGGCAGCAAGGTCCTGCATGGTTATCACTCGTATCAAGTGATTTTCGTCCGTCTAATAGCGGCGGAACGGCTGAGCTGATAGTGGCGCCAACAGACAGTACGTCACCTAAACATTTATTGTTTGTTTTCTGCATCTAGAATTTTTTTTGTTATTTTCATCTGCAAACTTTGATTACATCCATACGTGGACTAAAACCTACGCATCACACGCAAACCATTTGGTGGGTTTGAGGGGTGGTAAGGGGCGCCGAACACGGAAGGTGGCATTGACAAAGTTTAAAATAGTACGGATATCGTTTAAAACTGGCTGTGCGTGATACAGCATTCCTGGTATATCGTCGGAGCAACCTCAATCACGGTCTTGTAATCACCAGTATAGACCTCAATCAAAGAAGTGTCGGTCAGCTCAACATACATTTTTTAAAAAGGAATAAATCAGGAGTGAGAGGAAAGAAAGACAAGCCCCTCATTAAGAAGACTAACAGTAAACATAAAATACAATCATACGCCGCTCGCCCTTCGTCCTATTTTTAAAAGATGAAACGCAGTAACTACAAGCACAAAAAACAAAATTAAGATTCTAAATAGATTCAGCCTTATATCGTCAAAAATGAAGTTCGTCACGACCACGTTTCCCATTTCCCTGCTCGTTGTCGGAGCCATCTCCATACCCGTGGTCCACTATGCGAACCCGGAAACCGCTTTGGACAAGCGAAGCTACTTTCTTCGAAGCGCCTGGGGACAAAAGGCCCAGGACGACATCAAGGAGTCTGCTTCCGTGAGTGGTCTCGATACCGTGACCGAAGCAGCTGCTTTGCCGGACAAGCGGGACGAAGCCGCGCCCGACTGTTACTCGCTTCGCTCTCAATGGAGCGCCGAGATCAGTTCCAAGCGCGGCATTGCCTGCTAGATCCTTGGTCTGTATCTCAGGTGAGCTTGTATACCAGAAACTTAAACTTTTCATCTAGTCATTAACATTTTGATAGGCCCTTTAGAACTACGATAATGTAGTTAGAAGCTCCATGCATGGCAACACTCATTTTTCTTGTGTTGTAATCGTCCAATAGCGCCACCGTAGTTTAGTTCTCTATGGATACGCATGCCTCCCTGGTGAATTAGAACGGAATTGGGTTGTTAGCGAGAACGCGATGCTCTACATAATGCGCAATGTGAATTGCTTGTGACTTTTTTTATTTCTGACTATTGCCGCATTTTCTGTACTCCTATATTATTTGTCAAAGAACATCAGAGTGAGAGTAGGAATAGGAAATAAGAAAATATCTGAGGCGGTTATGGCGGCGTACGTGCCGTGTTCTTGTGATGGCCGATGAAATTGCTGCGCCGCGAATTGAATAGTCATCATGCGTCGGTAGAGGAATCCGGATGAGGTATTTATACTGAAATAGTAGTAATTGCAGGGTGACTTATTCACGACGAGCCTGAAATAAGTAAACTCTCGCATTCGTGATTTTTGTCTTACTCAGCCAAGTAAAAAAGAAAATATGGATCACCACCGCCACCTATTTCAGGGCAGGCATAACCATGGCCTAGGTACCGACCAGGACGATGAAATGGATATGTCTAGACGTTTGCGGAAGACTAAAACGAGAAAGATATCATGGATTTACGTTGCGCCCTGGTGCTTATCTTTTGTCCTGTTCATTGTCGTCCTTTATCTAATACAGCGACAGGGCTCACCAAGATGCGCATTGAACGGAGAGTGTCACGAAAGTCTGCTTTATAGTATGTATTCTCATTCTTTATTTCTGCAGTCAGTTTGCTGTCTTCGTTCCTAATGCGAATCAAATGAAAAGGCCCAGCGCAGGATGCCGTTGAATACGAAGTTCGCAAATTTCGGCTTGGCCTGGACGGCGACGAGACCGAATACCAAGGCAAACCATCTCCAGAGCTAGACCGACGTTGGAATGGTCTGTACGAGAGTAGGTTATGTTGCATTTGTTCGAGTCTACAAACTCACACCAATTCTTTGATGCATTGTTTTAATTTTACTCTTAGTGGGCATCAACCTGATCACAAAGGACATGGCCGCACGACTGCCCAACAAGACAATCCTACTTCCTCATGACAAACAGAGACGATATCTCGTTGAGCTAGACGTGTTTCACCAGCTACACTGCCTTGTAAGTCGATAAACTGACTCAACCCCAAATGCGCTATGAATATTCCGATAACATTGTCGCCTATCTAGAACATGGTCCGTAAAGCGCTGCATCCCGAATACTACGTACCACACACACCCGGCCTTCATACTGGTGATGAGGACGAGCTACTCGGGCCACATCATATCGACCACTGCATTGATGCCATCCGGCAGTCTCTTATGTGTAGCGCCGACATCAGTTCGTTGACGTGGAGCTGGGACGAGCACCGGCGCCGACACATGGAACGGGGCACCGTCCTCCACACCTGTAAGCGCTTTGACAAGATCCAGGAATGGGCTCGTGCACATACGGTCCGGATGCCATTTGACGCTACCTATAGAGAGAGAAATGATCCTCTAGACCCAGAGACATGGGATTGACTTGTCAGACGGCCAATAACTTGAAATATTGAAGACATGTTCAATATAATCTACTTTACATCTTACTTTTTCTACGGTGAAGAAGCTTGCCGATGCAAACTACGGGAGCTATGAGGACTTGAAAGCCTGATATCCGTTGCGATTCCGGACACGGACAGCACCGTCCACCTCTGAGGGGGGAAATCACAAACCACGTCAACCAGATCCACAGAGATGCTGCAGCGAGCGGCGTGAACAATACAGCCCGCCTCGACAAGATGAAGCAGTCGTAGACTAGGTGCTAGCGTACCGCATCGCGGAGCAGGAAACGCGGACCATTCTAAATCTCAGTGAGTAACACGAAGAAACAAGGCAGCTCACTAACGTAAACTAGGCTTTAAAGACCCCTCGTCGTATTACTATGGACCAGACTGTCGCCAACAACAAGACCTTACACGATAACATCACGCACGGGAATCGGTTTAACAATATCTAGAATTTCATTTTTTAAACAGTTGAACCAAGGTGCAACTCAACCACTACGTGGCATCAGCCGCCTGGAAGTAAACTGTTAGATGTGGGCCTTGTTGCCCCACCTGTCATAAGAAGTGACACATAAGTAACTCGTTTAGTTGAAAAGGACACGGTGTAAGTGGTATATTATGGTGAGGTTAGGTGAAGAACTAAACTCTAACTAAACAAATGTTCATACATGGTAAAATAATACACTTTAAGGAATGAAGACTACCGGGAAACGAAAAAAGTTGACGATCTTACTACACAGATTTAAATTTGGTGGAGACCATTTATCTACCCCGACTTGATTTGCGTCGCGTCTTCTTGGTGCTCCACTACCTCCTCCATCTTCGTCAGGTTGTTTACCTCCTCGTAAGCATCGACCTTCTCAATTGTAAACTTGCGTGCAGAAACCCCGCGGCGAAACAGAATGTCAAGCTCTTCGTAAGTGCGGCCATTTGGTTCCGGAAGACGGAAATAAGCCCAGACCAGCATAAGCACACCCGTACCGGCCCAAAAGAACGCAGTCTTACCCTTGGCATTAAGCGCTGTGGGATTCATAAACTGCGGCTCGACAACCTGCGAGAAGATGTTGACAATCTGATAGAATGTACGTGCGAGACACACAGTCAATGGTCGAAGGCGGGCGGAGGAGATTTCTGCGATAAACGAGTAGGCGATAGGGCCTAAAGTCATCGCGTAACACAGTACCCAGAGGATGCACAGGGCAGACTGCGCCCACAGAGCGCCCTTGGTGTGAGAAGACACACTGACGATACCGATGAGTAAAAGCAATACAAGCGTGATAACCTGGCCACCAAGGTAAATTGAGCGGCGGCCGATATAGGCAATAAGCCACCAAGATAGTATGGTGCCCACAAAGGCAATCGAAGTGGTGCCAAGATTCAGCTTATACGCGTCATCGGGACTAAGGCCGGCATTTTCAAAGAAGTATGTTGGGACCTCGTTTTGTTAACATTGGACGAGGAAAATGACGTAAATAAAGTACTGAACGAATCGAGAACGACAAAAACGGGCAAAGACTTACATATGCAAACGTGCTGCCAGAGAGGATCTGACCTGCAAAGGCAAGGCAAGCAATCTCGGTGCGCCGCAAGTCGCTGCCCTTGAAGCACTCCAAGTAGCTAGTGCCGGCTGTGACTTCAGACTCCATCTTGATTGTGTGCAGAATCATGGCCAGCTGGCCGTTAAGCTCATCGTTGGTGCGGTCGGATGTAAGGCGACGGAGGCTCTGTTTGGCTTCTTCAATTCGATCGCGGCCGACAAGGTACCAGGGGCTCTCTGGCATGAGGTAGCAGCCAATAGTCAATGGCAAAGGCCAAAGCCATTGAATGGCGAAAGGGATGCGGTAGGACCACTGATCCGGGCGGTTAATCAGGCTTTCCATGACACCGGCAGCAATCAACTGTCCAATGGCCCAGCAGAGATTCACGTAAGTCGTCAGGTACGCGCGCAGGTTGGTTGGACACACTTCAGAGGCGTAAGACGGACCGACGGTGGCGAAAACACCCCAAGAGAAGCCACACAAGATCTGGCCGACGAGTAGAACAGCGAGAGAGTTGGCGAAGAAGGTGATGAAGATAAACGCAGCCATGAAAACCAAGGAGATGCACATGACTTTTCTGTAGCCAAACCGTGTGCACAACTGACCGTTCATGATGCCGCCTAACTAGTCAGATTACAACATGAAGTAAGGAGACGTTAAAGACCAGAGAACGTACCGAAGATGGCGCCGACCGTGCTGCCCATGCTGATTCCTTGCTGCCACGGAGTGGAGATGAGGTAGCCCCTATCAGGGCCATAATAATTTCCATATTTCTTTGCGAAGCTAGGATAGCCGATAAAATTGCTGATGAGGATTGTGTCATAGCCCTCCATAACCACGGACATGGAAACCATGAGCGACCAAAGCACAGCCTTGCGGTTTCTCTTTAGGGCAGCCCAAGTAGACTCCTCGTGCTCGGCATCGGATGCTTTCTTGGCCTCGAGCAGGGACGTTGCACCTAATTTGTCCTGTAGGTGCAGTGCGGCCTGCGTGCCGATTTCGATATCAGCCATGTTTGCACAGACGGGCGGGGCGGAAATGGAACCACGATTCTGGAATACGATACTAAAATGAGGTTTAGGGGGGCGATAGTTGGCATGAAGCATAAAACACATGCCTGGTAACGGCACAGGTAATATATATCACAGAATATTACGTGCCGGCTAAGATAAGACGAGAAGCCTGTTACAATGTCTTGTGTCACGCAAATTTTCCCAGGCGGTTTATCTCCGCTGCTCGGTACATGTTAGACCGACTACAGTAACTTTAGGTTCGATTTCACAGCGGGGTTTTGCTTTGAAAAACGTCAAGTCGTGTTATGTCGCTTGGTAGGAATACCGGCCCGTGCGCCACTACCAAACGACATGCTACCCCGTCCATATTATTGGGTAACACCAAGCGGGGGACATATACGGTCGAACCAACTTTGCATACTCTGCTTTCCCCCATTTCAAAACAATGTCCCAGGGTCTCGGAAGTCCATACGACACGTTCGCCGTCAATAATGTTTATCCGGGGCCCCTGTCCTTATACCGGTAAGGCTTAGAATTAACTGCTTCTGTCCCTTGAATTTTAGACAACGAGGCTCCCGCGCCTCTTAGATAAGTAGCCAAGCTGGACCTCACTGTGTTCGAGGACGGCGACGTTCGTCATTTTCCCTGGCAACAGCATAATATGGTGCGTTCAGCAGATTGAGTCCAGTTTGGTCTGCTCGCGCGACACAGGAATCCCAAAATCGATCAAATGCTCAGACACCAGAAACGAGGAACGTGTTGTGCTAGACTACTTAAGGACTGTGCATTGGCAAACATTGCACACGCGTAGTGAACGAACGCAAGTTGCCAGATGTCGCCACTGGAAATCTATCACCTTCTCGTCTTTGATCGGCGAGTTGGCGATGTCACTCTAATCACGCCGACGTTGGGATGCTCTACGTCGGCCCTTAGAGCCGAATGGCGTCCATGAAACGTCCACCTACCCCGCACCGCAACTTCGTCAGCGAGCCGATCCGTTTCTTATTATTCCGGGATGATATTTTGATACGTTCTGTGATTGGAGCGAAATATTCGCTGCTCGCGAGAAAATTAAAACGTGCTGTAATTTGTTGCTATTTTTTTCTGTCCATTTTTTTGTACTAGTGACTTCCGTTGCCCTTCACTTTTCGTAAATTCTGAATCACTCCGCGTCGGCGGTCCACTGCAAATTACACGTCGCCGACAGGACCTTACCGTGACTCTGCTCTAACCTCTCTCCCAGGAGATGTATGATACAAGAGTGTCTTCCGTCCAGCCAATATCGTTTCATTTGGCGCTATACGCTGGCCATAAGATCTCGCTTGCATTCGACAAACACTCTTCTTTTCTCCAATATGAAGATTCGCGATGGAATGTGGCACACGGCTGAGGGCATGTCTGTCAACTACGCTGAAGAAATATACGAGACAACCTCAACACCACGCGGTATCCGGCTGCTGTGCCCGACGGGAAAGATCCGGTCCCGCGGCGACACTCTCAACCAGCCGACTGTGACGCTCACCATCGAGGCCGAGTCTGATGGAATCGTATCAGTGGAAGTTGTGCACTGGGACGGTGAACTGCGCCGCGGCCCCAACTTCGCACTGTTCCCTCATGGCCGGCTGGCAGTCGACGCAGTGGTGACCAATGACGCACTGAGTACGACCGTGGCGTCGGGAACTGTGGCCGCAACGGTAACAACGAATAACGGGGACGGTTCCCGAGCGTTTGGTATCCGTTTCCACCCGGTAGCAGCTGGTGAGAGTCGGCACACTCTGACTTCTCTCGGCCACCGAAGCGTGGGCTTTGTAATTAGTCCGGCCATATCGAACCCGCAACAAATAGAGACCATGAGTGACAAGACGCACTACATCTTCTCGCAGACGGACCTCGGCGTGGGAGAGTCCATTCACGGACTGGGTGAGCGATTCGGCGGGTTCAACAAGGTCGGCCAGCAGGTACAACTCTGGAATGCAGACGGTGGCACCAGTAGCGAGCAAGCCTACAAGAACATCCCCTTCTGGTTGAGTTCACGTGGGTACGGAGTGTTCCTTGACACGCCCGATCGCATCGAGCTCGAGGTTGGCAGTGCGCGCTGCTCTCGCGTTGAGGCACTTGTGCGTGGTCAACGCCTCAAATGGTATCTCATTTACGGGCCAACTCCGCGTGACGTGCTGCACCGATACTCTTTGCTCACTGGCCAGCCAAACACTCTGCCGCCCTGGAGTTATGGTCTCTGGCTCAGCACCAGCTTCACCACAAACTATGACGAATCCACCGTCCAAAGATTTCTGAGTGGCATGCGTGACCGCGGTATGCAGGTCGATGTGTTCCACTTTGACTGCTTCTGGATGCGTGCCTTCACATGGACTGACTTTGTTTTTGACTCGGAGCGCTTTCCCGACCCGGCCGGGCAGATTGCGCGCCTCAAGGCTTCGGGCCTCTGCCGCAAAGTCTGCGTCTGGATTAATCCCTACATAGCTCAGAACGGAGCCGCTTTCTCCTATGCTGCCGAAAAGGGCTACTTGTTGCGCCGTCCCAATGGGGACATCTGGCAATGGGACATGTGGCAGGCAGGCATGGGACTTGTTGATTTCACCAACCCAGACGCATGTGCATGGTATGCAGCCAGCCTTGATAAGCTGTTCGATATTGGTGTTGATGCTATCAAAACCGACTTTGGCGAGCGCATTCCCACGCGCGACATCCAGTGGTACGACCGTTCCACTGATCCTTCCCGGATGCACAACTACTACACGCTGCAATACAACCGTGTTGTCTATGAGGCCCTAATTGCTCGTTTCGGAACGGGTCAGGGCGTCCTATTTGCTCGATCCGCTACAGCTGGGACGCAACGCTTCCCTCTGCACTGGGGCGGTGACTGTGAGAGTACCGCTGTTGCTATGGCCGAGTCTTTGCGCGGTGGTCTCTCGCTTGGCTTGTCTGGATTCAGTTTTTGGTCCGTCGACATTGGTGGCTTTGAGGGTGCACCGCCGCCTTGGATCTACAAGCGGTGGGTTGCTTTTGGCCTACTTTGCAGCCACAGTCGTTTGCATGGCAGCAATTCCTATCGTGTACCCTGGACTATTGATGATGACGACCGATCTCCTGGCAGTGCCACCACGACACTTGCGCGCTGGACGGCGCTCAAGATCCGATTGCTACCCTACATCTTGGCCCAAAGTCACGAGTCGGTCGCCGTCGGTCTTCCTGTAAGCGTACGCGCCACTTGTATTGAGTTTCCCGATGACCCTACTGCCTGGACCCTCGACCGCCAGTTTTTTATCGGTAGCAGCCTCCTCGCGGCACCAATTTTCGAGGAAGATGGCGAGGTAGAATTTTACCTTCCTCGCGGCCGCTGGACGTCGTTCTTTACGAATAAGGTCCGGATTGGCCCTGGCTGGTTCCGTGAACGTCATGGATTTGGTTCCCTAGCTCTCTATGTTCGTGATAACACCATTCTCGTCCTCGGCTCTACCAACACAGCAGGTCACAGTGCCGTGTACGACTATTCAAATGATAATGAAGTTGTCACATACGGGGCCAAGCCAGGTGCCCAAACAGCCGTTGTGGATGTCGATGGAAAGATTTGTGGATCACTGGAAGTGGATCAGGACGGAAACCTCGTTGGAACTAATGTCTTGACTGGCAACTGGACATGTAGTCGGGATAAACGGGTCTTGGAGGATACTGTAACTATAGAAGAGATTATCGATCTTACGGTTTAGACTAGTTAGAATGCTATGGGTTGTTTAGATACGTAACAGTGATAGTAATTCTAGATAACACCTACTTAATGTATACGACATTATATACGGTTATTAACGAAAGATTGTCCGGTCTTGTTACCGTTGTAGTTGTTAGTCGGATAGGCCTTAACGATACTGTTGGCTGTAGTCCAGGGCATAAAATCGGGAAATGAGGCTTTTATAGATTTGAGGAGAATTCCAACAGAGACAACAGACTATGACCCTAATTTTATGCCCATATGCTTATTCGACAACAGCTCCAGATGAGGCGAGTGGGATGGGAGACGGGTGTTATCGATGTCGAGTCGTCTTGGCCACGGTTTAAATACCACAACGGAAGACAAGTAGGTGATACTGACGACTGTGTTACCATGTTTATTTTAAGACCCGAGTTTGATTTGGAAAGGCTTGAGTGACAAGAATCAACCGATGTCTTTATTTGTTTTTTGATCAACCAAAACTTGAATGGTTACCACCCAGTTATACCGACGCCTTCCATTCTTCATTGTCGGCGCCATCACATCCTTATACCCGCGTCACCACAAACTCTAACCGTCCTGTAGACAACTGTGGAAGTCGACATGTCCTGCGACTGCTTGCCCGCATGGTCACAGATACTTCAGTCACACCGACAGTTACCGCGCTTCGCTCAGCGGCTTGTCGTCGGGGTACACAAGCGGCGGTCGCTTGTAATAGCGGTCCCACTCTTCCGTGTTGGCCAGCAGCGCCTCGCACAGGCTGTACGTGGGCAGACGCACAAAGCACCAGCCCACGTCCAGGGACTCGCGGCCCTCGACGGGCGGGTAGCCGTCGTCGCCGTCGGTGACAATGTCGAGCCACTCCTCGTAAGTGTAGTCGCCGCTGGCCATGTCTTCGCGCTCGCTCTCGTCGGGCTCAGGCGTGGGCCGGGCCAGGTTGTCGTAGTAGGCGTCATCAAAGGCGGCATCCACGAGCACGGCGTAGCCGCTTGTGGAGTAGAAGCCGCCGCGACGGCCGTTTTTACGCGTGTAGGGCGTGTACGTAGACCGGGCGGCCAGCATGGCGTCACGGTCGACGTACAGGCAAAAACGGTACCGCGGCATGTTCTTGAGGCGGAAGGCGGCGTGGGGCCCGCTGAGCACGGCAACGCCGGCGCCATCGCGCGCAGGCGAGCGGTCGTCGACCCAGGCGCGGAAAGCGGTGCGGATGGCGTCCTTGGTGGCGCCGGAGTAGGCGGCGCGGTCGTCCATGATAGTGTACGGCAGGTCGCTTGGGTCGTCAAAGTCCACACAGTCGCCGTCGCTGTCGTCGTCGCTGTCGGGTGTGTCGTAGTTGGCGTGGGCCAGGATACGCAGAAAGGCGGTCCACGCCTCGTCGTCGTCGTACCAAACGCGGTACAGAAGCAGGTCATCGATGCTGTCCTCGTACCGGGTGTCCTCGTCGCCTGGGACGACGTAATTTATGGCTAAGTCGTCGCCGCCGGCCGTGGGTGGCGTGGCTATGGCTATCTCCAATGTCGTCTCTTCTTGTTCTAGTTGTGTTGCTGTTGTATGAAGGACGATTTGGCTTGTGTCTGCGGCGAGTGCTGTCGTTTTTCGGGCGTGGTACGCGCAGAGGACCCACAGAAGCGTTGCGGTTCTCATTTGGTTTGCTGGATGCACTGTGACGGGGCGGTATGGATGGCAAACGCAAAAACCGTGTAGAAAGGACGCGGGCGCGCAATCTGTAGTATACAACTATAGATTCGGGTAGTTCTTCGCCGAGCACTTGTAGAGAGAGTCCACTAATGGTGTCAGAGGAGGAGCTGTCGGAAATACGTAGGATATTGACACAATGCTGGACGACGAATCTGTCAAGGATAATAGATGCGGCGAGCGGCATAATACAGACGATACACGGTACACTGAGCGGCATAATAAAGGCGATACACGGTACACTGAGTTTGCATCCGCACACGGTAGACGTAGGAATGAACCAGGGAACAACTTCTGTATATGATGCGAGCACTCTTGGGAAATGTTGGCTGTTGGACTGCATCGCTCCACTGTCCATGTGCATCTATCACCTACGGCTCTCTTCCATTTTGCTGTAAACAAGTACGGGCCTTACCTCGCCCCCGCCCCCCCCCAGCTAGTAAAAGCAAATGACGACCTGCACCAATTCTATGGCGCGGTACTTCCTCGTCTTGCTCGCATAGCAGACAACCAAGCCCAGGCCCTTGCAGATCAGGCCGCCCAGATTTTCCTCGCTGCCGCGGTACTGACACGAGCTGCTCTGAACAACAAAGGGGCCGAGATCGGGTGGGAACTGCACGCCGGCCGCCGGTGTGTCTGCGGGCGTGGATAGAACGTCTTCAGTGGGCATGTTACACAAGTCGTATTTAGTATGAATGTCACCGGGCATGTTGTACACCAGCCACGTTCGGATAAACGTGCGCCCTCCGGGCGTTTGGTCGTCTTCCTCGGACAGCACGATTACGACGCGGCCGTTGGTCGGTGTCGGGAAGGGCCGCGCGGTTGTCGTTGTCGGCGGCGGGGGCAGTGGCGGGTTCGCGGTTTTGCTCGGCTGGCTGTCACCGCCAATAAGCGTCGTGCTGTGGTGGTTGCCGTTGTTGGGATCCTTAGGATCCTGAAAGTCGGGCGGCGTGCCGGTGGGATGCGGTGCGCAGTAGTAGCCGGTGCAGAGCGTGCCGCAGCCGCCGGCTGTGCAAATCGGTCCAGCCACGCTGCTCGGCGTAAAGGAAATGGACTGCGCGTCCGAGTCGCCGGGCCAGCCGCAGCTGTTCGGTGCGTCGTGTTGGTGGATGCCGCGGGCGTGGTTAACTCTAGCCGGCTGATAAGCGCAGCTGTCGGCGGAGGGGCCGTCCGGCTGGGCGGCCAGGTTGTCCTCAAGCGTAGGGCAAACCTGCGACCAGTCGTTGCCGTTGGCCGAGGGCGCGTCGAGCAGGCAGTTCTTGTCGAGCACCTGGCCGTTCCAGGCGATGCGTCGGCTCAGGGCGTCGATCGGGCGGCCGGGCACGGCAATGGGCCGGTGCAGCGCGCGCAGCAGTTTTTTGACGTTGGCGGGCTGCTGAAGCTGGGTCTGCCAGCGCGACGGCAGTGCACGCCAGTAGGCGATCAGTCCGGCGATCTGGGGCGATGCTAGGGACGTACCGGTGTCTCGCCAGGTGTAAGTGCCCATATTATCGGGGATGCGGACCAGCTTGCCGGGCGCGTACGTTGTGAGGTAATCGGCGTCCTGTGACAAGGGAGCGCGTATGCCGTCAATGTCGGTCGCGCCTACGACAATCATGTCGGGGATGGGCGCGCCGCCGACGGAGGCGGGCGAGGCGCCCGGGTTAGCGAGCATCTGAGGGACTGTGTCGATAAGAGCGCGGCCCTTCTCGGCTGCATTGCCGGCGACCATGACAATGATCCAATGATGACGTTGAGATCATTGAGGATCTGACAATGATGACGTTGAGATCATTGAGGATCTGTAGGAGGTCGCCTGTGGGGTGGTTAGACGAGAAGAAGGGTCAAAACAAACAAAGGGAAGTTTAAAGGAAAATTAGATGAAGACAAAAAAAAATAAAGAAAACAGAAATAAAGAAAAAGAGAAAGAGATAGACATACGGATCTTCTTGATCATGTCCGGTAGTGTGGCTGTCGTCACCACCTGGCTAATGTTAATGACGGCCGTGCCCTATAGCTTGTTGCGTCGCACGTCGGTGATCACTGTTTGGAGCTGTTCGATGAGGCCGTCCGCCGTCATACGTGGATAGTCATTCGGCGCCCACCCGACCCACACCACGGTACACATCTTGCACACACCCAGCCTCGCACCGTTGATACGCGCCGCCACCGAGCTGCCGTGACGCGAGTCAAGGTCGGGCCGCCGGTCGTCGGTGATGTACACGCGGTTTCGCAGCTGGTGGATGCGCCCGGCCGCCAGCGCATCGTGGAACTCGGGATGCCACAGCCACACAACGTTTTCGGCCACGAGGTACACCGTCTGGCCCGCGCCCGCTGGGTCGTTGTCGTAATTGAACTTGTACCGTGGGCTGCCGTCGGCGTCAAATCCAACGGACCCGCTCGCCCGCTGCTTCCACGTCTTGCCTGGGATCGTCGACAGCTGCGATAGCGCCCAGTCGCTCGCATCTAGTACCGAGGTTGGCGCCCGCCGGGCCAGCTCGCTGGTATGGCTCGGCGTATTGGCCAGCGTGCGGTTGGGCGCATCCTGGTGGAGATCGGTTTCCCGTTCTTCCTTAGATTCCATGGCCACGCGCGGGCCGCCAACAACGGCGTCGACATTCTGGCTGTCACCTTCAGGGCTTTCACACGAATTGCTCGTGTCTGGGGCGTCCGGCATGCCGTCGTTCGTGGGCGGGTTCTTGAGGTAGTAGTCTTCGTAGTAGTAGACAAGAGCCACACCAGACTGCAACCGAACAATGACGTACACACTATGGTTAGCCATGAAGGAGATCGGGGTCATTTTTGTTGTCCTTGCTCTCCTCCTTCTCCCTTCTCCCCTCTTCCTTACCAAGTCTTGCAGTGCCGCAAACGTGCCGCGGTCCAACATGGGCACTAGCACAAGGGCTACGAAGCCCGTCACGTCGTCAGCGACCGTCGACGTCTTGCCCGTATACGGTTGTAGCAGCTTGTTGATGGCGTCCATCTTGCCGCCGTCGACGGGATAAACAATGGCGTTCGCCGCGCAGCCGTTGTCAGAGTTACCAGGCACCGTCGGCCTGGTTCGTCGATGTCGCCGTCGTGGCCTGGTTGCTCAGCGAGCAGCCAAAAACCGTCTCGCAGCCGCTAATTGTGGCCGCGGCCGTCGTGGTCGTGCTTCTGTCGGCGCCGACCGTCTGCGAGTAGACGGTCGTGACGCCGCAGAGCGACGCCGTCTCGGTATTGCACGACTTTGGCTCGTCGGGGTAGGACACTTCGCCACCGGGGCCGACACTGTGTGTGGGATGTAAGTCTGGGATACAAGGAAGGGTAGACGGGCAGGGGTGGAAAGCGTGTCTTACGTAATCTTTGGCCACGGCGGCAACGACACTGAGATCTTGGAGCCACGGAATTTGAACCACGGTGGAGGGCCGCTATAGGCACGCATTGGTCAATATGATACAAAATACCAACAGAACAGAAACAGAAGAGTACGCACGGCGGGTAGATGCCAAGCGGCAGCGTCCACAGCCAGCCCAGTATTGGATCTGGTCCTTTGTCATCGCAGATCTGTATGCACCGTCAGTGTTGAGAATGCAACTGGGTGGACAGCATGGAACACAAGTCGAAACCAGCAGGGTACGCACAAAAAAGAACCACAGCTTGCAGGGCAGCACATAGCCACCGGGCGTTGGAGTCGGCTTGGACACGGACGTCGTGACCGGCACAATTACTCCAGGTGGCCACGTCACCCACACCGGGAGGGGAGTGGTGGTGGTTGTGGTCGTCAATGCGGAAGTCCTGGACCGCGTGGACGTGCCCGGAGACGCCGTGATCGTGCTGACGGAAGTACAGTCCTGCACGAAGACTCCTGACGACAGGTCGAGAAACGTCACGACCTTGATCGGAGGACAGGTAAACGACCCTGCCATCGTTGTCAGAAACGTCAGTGTGGTTATGCCCGGTTTCGTGGCGGTGACCGTTGTCGTGACACCCGTGTGGAGGGTCACTGCGCCGCCGCTGGTCGTTACAGATACGGGCGGCAGTACCATCGACGAGGCCGTGTCGGCCGGGCCGTCTGTCACGGCTGGCCACGGCGGCAGCGTAACGCTGCGGACCGTTGTGCCACCACTGCCGTCGGGCAGAGAGACAGTCTGCGGCGGGTAGCGGTAGGCTCGGAATGGCCAAGAAGCCCGTTGTCGTCTGTGTGATAGGCATGTTTGAGTAGGGCATTCCGCCGCCGGACGGAATCGTGATCTCCGGAATGTTGATCGTCACCGTTGTTGTGCTCGTGACAAACGTCGTCACCGTCTGCGCGCCCACGATCGTCACTGTTGTGTGGCCGTACTCAAATGATGTCGTGTAGTCACCGGGCGAGATAGTCATCCCCGCCGGCACAGTGCTGTTTGGCAGCACGAGCGTGCAGGGCGGTGGGCAGTGCACGGTGGGTGTAGCCCAGATCTCCGTACCGACGTAAACAATGTCGCTGTTGTCTGCGCCCGGCAGCGGTATCCAGACACTGACTTCTGACGTAAAGCCCCTGTTGTGCCATAAGTATATCACTACCAAGTGAGGCTGATTTTGGAGCTACCATACCTTTGGTTCGACTCGGAGAGAAGGACAGAAGCGTTGCTGTGTGAAGATTGTGTTAACAGGGCATGCCACATAAGAAAAAGAAAACACAAGTACAACGCACTTTATTCCGGAAGCAATAGTCGTCGTCCCGATAGTAAACAGGTTGAAGACCACTACCCCTGACGAACCCTTGACCTCGAGAATCTTGTCTTGGCAGTTTTCCGATCCGGTGTCGCTACAGTCGACGTAAAAGTCGTTAAAGAAGCTGTAAAGGCCGGCACTGTGCAGTGTGACGTCCTGCGAGTCCGTGATACGCAGACCCCATGCAGCACGGCAGCCGTCGGTTATGCAGCTGGCAAAGGACGGGTCACCGGGAAAGCTCGACGCGCCGGCAAATGGCTCCGGAGTGAGCGGGGCGGGCTGGTAGTACGGTGTCTCGGTTTGGATGTGGCCCATGTAGATCTACAATCAATAAAAACTGAAATTCGTCTATGGTCAGTCTGGGATAGTGGAAAGGACAAGACAAAACCAGAGTGGTACGTACCCCCTTTGCTTAGTAGAGTTGGTACTGGTACATAACGGAGTGCTCGGAGCCCGTGCCGTATAACCATGACGGACCCTGCGACTCGATTAGCATGCCGCGCGCGGCATACACGCTGACCTGGTTGACCGAGGCGTCGGGCTCGCTGTCGACGTTCAAGTCGTTATCACTGAAAGGGGTTACGACTATTAGTATGCCTTACGGTGATAATACGGAGGGGAGAACAAAAAAAGGAGACAAAAGGGAAGTCGGGCTTCTCGCGGAACTCACTGATCTGCGGCCCAGGCCCAGACATTCTCAAAGAACCCATTGGCCTGCGGGGTGACGTGGAACAGCAGTGAGGCCGCGATGCACTGCTCGTTGAAGGAGTTCTTAGGGCACGTCTTTGCGTCCAAGTCGGACCCGGCCGCGCCACCGACGCGAAAATGCGAGTCCCACATGGCGGCCGATCCCGGGCTCGCCGCCGCCACGTTCCACTGCATCAGCACGGCGCCGGCCGTCGCGCCCTTGACCGAGAACAGCATCTCAACAATCTCCACGCTGCCCACCTCGCCCTTGTTGCCCACGCGCACCATCACCTGTGGGTGGTGTCGGTCCGAAAAGAAGAACCCGCTGCCTTGGATCTGCGACCAGCTGGCCCCCTGCACACGCGACCCCGTCGGCACGAACACTGTCCCGCCCACCTGGTAGACGCCGGCCGGGAAATATGCAACCTGCCCGGCCGCCGTCGCCTTCTGCAAAAACATGTTGATGGCCGCTGTCTGGTCGCCCGTGCCGTCGTTCTTATATCGCCATCCCGCGTCGCCACCAAGAAGCTGCTTGCGGCAAGTGTCTCATACTGCGGCCTCGAGCGCACCAGCAGGCGTTTGGCGAAATTGGCGCTGTCGGCACTGTTACCCACGAGAAGATTCGATGCTTTGCGCGGTGCCGTCAGTGCGCCGGTCTGGTACGAGCCTGTCGACCCGTTGTAGCGCCGGCCAATGGCCCAGAGGTCAATGGTTGTGGTACCGCCTGTTGAATGAAGAAACAGCGATTATGATTAGTCTTGCCGTGGTTGGACATGAGAACGAAAGCATTGTTTTTTTTTTTTTTTTTAAAAAAAAAAAAAAATTCATCTTACCCGTGAGGACACTTCCACCCTTTTCGGTCTCCACTGCAGTCTGCACATTGGTAAGCCTGACGTTGTCTAGTACAATGTTAGGAGACGCGTTGTCCGTATTCGTGAGAACCCCTATCGGGACATTGCTGATGCTAGAATCTTTTGCAGAATCTTGAGTTAGTTTCACGTTTCTGTTCATCGGGTGAGCTGTTTCACACCGCGTACCGAGAATCGACACAGACCCTGTTCCTTGACTTGTACTGCCACCTCGCCCGGAGATGTTGAAGGCAATGGTTCCACCATCAATGTCAATCTGGAGCCCCGTGTTAGTCAATCTGCCGTAGAGATGCAGCATTTGGGAGAATACAAATCCAGGAGAGTTATACGCACGTCTTGCCAGTTGAATCCCCAATCCCATACCATTTGGACTGACTGCTGGCAGTTGCGGAATGTCAGACTTCGCGCCGTATACTGTTGGGATCCGGCACGCCAACCAATCGCGCCGCCGTTGAATGTCTAGAGCGATTTTGTTAGTTGAGACCAGGTTGTAGTTGGTATGGAATGAAACGGAGAAGGGGAGAAGAAGAGCCTGACTAGATCTAGCACGTAAAGAGATATTAGTAAACTCCCATATACATCACATAGAAGCACGTTCCACGGCGCATTGTTGTACATGGGGAACAAACCAGATACGAAGCCGCCGCTGCCATTCTCCATAAAGATGCCAACGTGCGTCACGTTGTTGGAGCTTTTGGCCACGGGCATGTTGAACACCAAGTTTTGAAGTGTCGTTGCCTGCGCAGCCTGCCAATGCAGGCCTGTGGGCACCAGGGCCTGGCCGCTGTCGTCGGTGGCTGAGGGCATGTCGGTGAGGTCAAAGATAAAATTGCGGATGTGGCGGAAGAATTGGTTTTGGTTCATGTACCTAGGCGCAAGGAAACGTGGACATGGTTAAATTTGAATAGATAGGAGTAGAAATAAATACGGTGAGAAAATTACTCACCATTCATTACCGTTACTATAAATCGGGACGAAACGATTTATCGAGTTAACCATCCGATCTTTACCGATAACTGTCGTTTTGTCTTCACTTACCCCTCTGGAATGTATGGGTCGGTGTCAAACAAGGCAATGCCTTTGAACGAGCTGCAACCCTTGATTGTCGGAGGATTGATAGCATCGCCGATAAATTGCGTGTAGTAGAACTGGATAACCGGCGAGCAGATTTTGTATGTGCCCGGCTGTTCACGGTTGTTAGTGTCGAAAAGACTATTCTCCGGCCACGGTAAGACCTTCTTACTGGAAAGTAGATAATGGCATCCAGCGTGCTTGTGCTGCTGCACGACTTGCCGCAACGGTTGCCATCCTGGACAGCGGCGTTGATCGCCTCCGACGCATCCGTATTGCCCTTGTTGTCGGCCTTATAGTCGGCCACGACGTCCCGGTAGAACTCGTAACCGGACGGTGCAAGAGGTTGCTAGATGGCGCCAGTACCGTTAGCACGGGAATCACGCTCAAGAACATCTCCTCTATTTGGCTGTCATTCGCACCGTGCCCAGGGGCGCCAGGTTTGTCAGCCAGTAGCTTGATCCAGCTGCTGCGTCCGTGGCGAATTTGGTCACCGTCTTGTAGTTAACAGTCATGTTGGTAATGATCTTGCCGCCCACCTGCGAGGCATTTGCGACGCGCGTGGAGCCGCTATGACTGGCGAGCCAGTTGTGCGGATTAGTACCGGCCGCTCTTGACGCGTTTCCGGGAACCGTGGTATTGCTGCTGACTGCTGGCAGGACGAGAGACGCATCGATTGACGCGTTACTGCTGGTGTCATAGCTGCAGCGTACCACGGTCCCCTGGCTCAAGGCGGTCATGTATGCCTCGAAACTGCCCGAGCAGTCCCACACAGGCCCATCTTGCGTCCCTAGTTCAAGAGCATTAGCTGGCTACCTGGGTTTGAGTGTTTCTAGTAGCACAGCATACCTTTGTCTGGGGCCACATGAAACTGGTTATGCGTATTGTCCACCATGTACGCAGGATTTGGCTATTTTGTGATGGAACCAGGCGTCTTGTTAGCAAAGCGTTCAATGCAATTATGAGACAACAAGGCTCGCTGGCACCAACCCGAGGACCGTAGTCCGGCACATCGGGATACCGAGTGCGATTGATATTGAGTTGCCCGGCCACGACCAGCCCTGCCCAAAAGGTTGCTAGGGTGAGGCTGGCAAGGAGAGCAGCTGGCGTGATCGCCATGGCTGTGTCTAAACGTGCGGTTTGAATCTTCTGGGGCGGTATGTGGTACGATGTGTAAGGTATGCAGCATGTGCGTAGTCTTGTTAAGATGGATACCTATCGTTCAGAGCACCGATCAAAATTGATACTCTTGCGCGATATGTCTCGAATGGTTTGCGACCACCAAGAAACTATACATGGCCGGATACTTCGTCTAACCACGCAAAGCAGTGCCGAATGGCACCGTGTCCATCCGACGACATGGTCATTAAGTAAAGGGGCCGATTGTCTAGGCTGAAGGATTCCTCTCGCAGGGCTTTCCAATCTGTCACGACATGAATGTTTTCTAAAATTACATTGCCGCGCGACCACCACGTCCTTCATCGGCTGTCGCAGCACAGTTAAACGACCAACAGTCGCGCTGGTGAGATTATCCATATGACAAAGTCCTTTATCTTTTCCGCATCGCATCTTCGAAAGCGCCACGCTACCACCTCTTTAAGAATATAACACCCAGTCACGGCCAGTAAAGAGGGGTTCGATGAGGTACGGTGTCCCTTGTGCCTGCATAATACCGGGCAAGGTGCGCTTCTGCCGCAAAATACAACTTGTTCCGGGCACGGCCTAGGCCGCGTCTGTTGGACACATTTTTAGCCTTCTGTGCGTTCATAAATTATGCCTCTTTATAGGGGCTAACCTGCCGTAAATATTCTTACCAACTACTACGGCGAGTTGCTGTCGGCTTGGTGAAGCTAGCCCGGCTAAAGACTGGACTGTAACCGCCGTAGAGGACCAGGACGAGATGCTTCGCCTCTTGTTGGTCCATTACGGTTCTACGTCGTGTCAGAGTGTAAGGACTAGCTTTCGTTTTTAAGTGATAATACGTATATTGGCAATTGTCGCCCATGCGTTGTGTTGAAAAGCGACTCTATTGCTGGATATAAATACGGAAGCCTAAAGCACGACTTCTTTATAGATAAGTCTTGGAGTTATTTTCTGCAATCTCGGATCCAATAGTGGTCTCCGAACAAATCCGCCGACGGTTTCTTTTGTTAAGCACTATATTTTACTGTCTCTTCTCCTCTCCAACTCCCTCTCACCATGCAATACTTTAATCTTCTTACTACCGGCGCTGGCCTGTTCGGCACCGGCGTTCTGGCTGCCCCAAGCCCAGCAGTTGACAGCATTTTCCGCCCAGGCGAGTGCTTTTCTGCAGAGACAACTGCGCGCCTCTGCTACACGGCGCCTAAAAATACGCCACAGGACGTCTCGGTTGATGATATTAAGTTCGCCGCGACCTACCTCCGGTCGTACGGCCGTCAGAAGTAAGTTGCGATATTCTATCTTTTATTCTCTTTCTACACACCGGTCCTGCATACCAACACCTTCGTTCTAACTATACCCTTATCAAAATAGGAATGCTCTTGTACTTTTGGAAAAGTAGCGGTGTTATGGTGATGGACGAGGTTGAGTTGACGGGTGATTTATATGTTATAGAGTTTCTTTATAAGTTAATCTTACGTTTTACTTACGTTAATTGCCTCGTAATAGTCGACTTATATATTATAATACTATAAAATTTATATTATTATTATTATTCGCCTTTCTGAGCCAGTCCTGGCTATTGGCGTCTAGTTAGGCAGAACCCTCCTGGGGAAAAAACTACCACAGATCTAAGTGTGTAAACTTTCTAGTTTACGGGAGTGTGTGGTGGTTTAATATAGCCACTTCGGTGGGATAAATAAATAAAACAAATGAACAAAATAATAAAAAATAAGAAAACATAGAAAATAAAAGGAGGGTATTAAACGCCGATGTTAGTAACTGTTCGAGCTTTTTATTAAGTTTACTATTAATGAGTAGAAGTGAAGGGTGGAAGTTACGGTGTTTGTGAGGTGTTGGTAACGTTCGGTCTAGTAGGGGGAGGGTGGAGGTCGGTGTTGTTAGTTGTCCGGTACTCGTTTAAATAAATGTAGTAAAAGGGATAAGAGTGTGAGTAAGTCGGGTGTAACCCTCGGTAGTTTACGTAACGTCTGTCCTTTAAAGGGTTAACGTAGGCCCGGTTACCGTGGGCGTTATCGTAGTACGTATACTGTAAGGGTTTCCGGTACTTCCGGGCCCCGTGACCTTACGTTTAGTATTGTAAGGGTCTGCCAGGAGATATCGCTGCGCAGACACCTAGGATGAATACTTTGGTGAAAAGCTAGTTCCTGAATTAAATAAAAGAATATCGATAAAGAAGGAGAAAGAAAACAAGAAGCGTAAGGCTGGGTAAACAACCCCTTTTTCTGGTCCCACTCGTGGACTTCTGATCAGGGGTCCGGCTCCCCAGCCACCGCACCGCCACATGCCCCGGCCCACAGATGTCTGATCAGAAGTCCGGGAGTCTGGCCACTGGCTTACGCACCGCTTAGCCATCCTCGGGCCCTTGGCCCGTTACACTTAGGAGGAACATACGTACTGTCGAGTTGCGTAGCTGTGAAGTATGCGATACAGCTCCTTAGTATGCTCGCCGCTAACAACTTGACATGCACGAGATCCCAAGAGGTACGGCATATGTATCCGATTTGCGTAGACCTACGTAGCCGTGCAAATAACGTCTTGCAACTGGCATCTCAGTAAGAAACAAGTTTTCGAAGATTGTTCAGTGGGAAAGAAGTACTTGTTTACGCAAGGACAGGACGGGACGATAGTGAGACATATTACCGGTGGACGACAGGCACTGTTTGAAGAAGACCACGGGAGTGAAGGCAGAATAATAACGCTAATTACCCGCTCTAAAGTCGTGTACAGAGACAGAGAGAGTACATAAACATAAAAATAAACAGAAAAACAAATATATAATAAAATGAAATAATCGAACCACCAACAAAGCCAGTCATCGACCGTAGCAAACATCTCAGTTTAAGCGTAGCTGTAATCAAAATCCTCGTTCCCTCCCGTATGCTATTAATATCTGGATGGTTATATTTTTGATAAAATATGTTCAGTCCATAAACGCATAAATAAGTTTCAATACCTCATATATTTAAAAATTAACTTCCATAAATGGGACTCGATTTCTTATTATACTTCATGTCTTATGCGTTAGATTTTATATTGGAACCCTTTGTTTTCATAGTCCGTGTAGTCGGCAAAGCCGGCCTCGTTTACAAGTTCCTCCGATATAGGAAGTGTGGCGCGTCGCACGTTCTGCCGCCACATATATATGCCAAGCAGTATAGTTGAGAAAATTCCAACGCCATAGATCGCACAAAGAGCACGAATGGCAGTGGGGTAGCGCGGCGCCTCAGAGGGGAAAAAGAAGAAGGGCGAGATGATGTTACCAGCGGCATACGCAGTGAACTGGGCTCCGTTGGCAAAAGTGCGCTTGGTGTGCCCAGCAAAATTTGCGGCGACGATGGTCCAGGTCAAGATAATTGCCAGTCCGGTGATGGGGAGCATCCAAGCACAGGCGGCCAGATGCAGCGGTTTGCTTAGTGGGATAGTCAAGATGCCAATGAGACCACCCAACCCGGGCACGTAAGCTAAGGCAGTGACGAGCACCAGCGTGTTTGGCACGTGTGTTGTGATCCAGCCGCCGCTGATGATGGTGATAAACTGAAAGGCACCACCCGGCATTTGGTACAGAACGCTCTTGAGGGCACCATATCCAAAGCTCTTTAGCAACGTAGTCAGAAAGTTGGACACGGCGCCATTGATGAGGCCCAGTGACAGGCCACACACCACAGAAAGGTAGATCTTGGGGTCGCACACAGCCTCGCGCACCTGGTACCAGAGGATGGTGTGGTGCTTTATGCCCGTACGGTTGCTGCGCACACGCCAGACGGCCACGATGGCCTCTTCGTGAGAGAAGAAGAGAGCTTGTTTCGGCGAGGAGGGCATGAAAACGAAGCACACAATACCTGCAACGAAGCTACCGAGACCGACGACCATGAAGATGAGCTGCCAAGGTGTGATGTGCGGGTTGTGCGTATGGCCCAGACCCCAGGAGATGCCGGCACCGATGAGCTGTGAGAGGCCGTTGCACCCGAGCCAAAAGGACATGCGCAGCGGCATTTCCGCTTTGGTCCAGAACATGGCTGTGATTAGCATCCATGCCGACCCGATACCGGCCTCGGCACAACCCAACACAAAGCGTAGCGCCATCATGCCGGCAAAAGTTTTGGCGAGTGTCGTGAGCGAGAGAACGATACCCCACACGGCCACAGAACTGCCAATGAAGCGGCCAATTGAGAATTTCTGTAGACCGATAGACATTGGGTAGGCGCCGAAAAGGTATCCAAAATTGGTGATTGACGCAATCCAGGCTGTTCGTTTGCGGTGTCAGTGAGTGAACCTTGCAATGGCGCAGTCTACGCTGCAGGACGACTTACAGTATTGGTTACCCTTCAGCCCCAAGTCCGTGGTAAGTCCGTACGCGTTGGCATAGTTCAGCGTGCTCTTGTCCAGAAAGCTGAAAAAGTACACGATACACATCTAGACGTGTCAGTATGAGGTAAAAAGTAATATGAGAAACCTCGGACTTTGTTTTGGTTTCATCTCACCATGGGCAGGACAATCAGGTCCAGCTTGAGCAGCACACGCTTGGCGAGGACATCCCGCTCGGCTGGATCCATTCGCAGCGACTCTTCGAACATGTCATAGGCCACATCATGGTGCTGACCGTTATGACCAAGCGGCGACTTTTCAACGCCAGACTGTGTCACGGAGTAGACCTCGCCTAAATTAATGTCTGCGCTCGGTGCAGACGCTGCTTTGTTTGCAGTGTTTGTTTCATTTGGTGAGTGCATGGCTGTTTGAGCTGGGTTGTGTAGATTGGGTGATGGAAATAAAATGAAAGTGATAAAATCCTCATATGTTCCGACAAAGGCGTCACCATACATGAACTGTCCTTTGGGCGCTCCTTTTATGTACATGTGAGCTATCTCCTCGTCTCTACATGCTATTCCGAGTCGGCCAAGTTGCTGCGTCTCCGCATCTTCAATTGCGTCAAAGATAGCTGAGGTATCTTGAATATTGTGGGGCCGGATCGGAAAACTTCTCGTTCCGGTTAGCGTCCGTGGTAGAGTAGGCATTAGTCACTCACCCCGCAAAAGATTAGGTTGGGGTACTGGGGTGGAAAGATAAGGGGGGGCGGGCATGTACAAGAACAGTTGTTTCACTGTCGTCCGAGAGAAATCTCGTTGCCTCAAATTCAAAACTCGTTATTCGCCATGCCACGTGCACCGCGTGTTCTTCAAGCGTGCGGGGAATGGTAAGAAACAAGCCGCTCCAATCCGTGGAAGAGGAACAAGAGCTCGTGACAAGATTTGCAACCACTAACTGATCCGGTATGTAGCCGGTCTCGGAAAATCCGGTGCAGTGGCAACCGGCCACGGTGCTCCGCCTGTGTTTCCCACCGGCGGGAATGTAACTGGTCTGACGATCTGTTACCCGGTGGGTATCGCGTGTTTGCAGTTGATGGTACCGGTCGACGCCGCAACCGTCCGCCACCACTCGCCTCGTCAGCCGGCGATGACGGGCAAGTTGTGACCAGCACAGACGATCTGCCTGGCCCGGACTTGCGGCAGCGCATATTTGGCTTGTTTAAGAATCGTCACCTTGGAATGGAGTTGTGTGGGTGTATCGACATGGATAAATGCGAGTCGGACGGTTGGCTAAAGCGGTCTGCGAACCACCGCGCACTGGTACATGCAATCACGGCCTTGTCCGCACCATACCTGAGCGACAGTGATATGGAACATGTGGATGCAGGACATGGTAATCGTGACTTTATGTCATCAACCTTGCTCCTCCGGCACAGCTTAGCCAAGGCCCGGACGATGTCCTGCCAGACCTCCGACCAGCCACAGGTCATCACCATTCAGATGAATCTGTGTCTTTCGCTTCGCGAGCTTCTGGTCGCATCGTCGATGCGTGCGTGGCTGTACTGTGGACTGGCTATTCGACAGGCGCAGGCTCTACGCATGCGCATGGAATATAACCAGCGTCACGATCTCCAGCAGCAGGAGATCCGTCGGCGTACATTTTGGGCTTGCATCATCATGGATCGTCTTGTTGCCCTCTGCACGTTCCGCACACAGACAATCGACCCTGGTCTTGTTACCATTCATCTTCCCGCCAGCGATGTGGCTTTCGCTTTTGGTCACCACTCTTACGGGCCTCGTCTCGATGAGCTGGGTGCCAGCCCAGGATACAAAACTAGCTCTGGCTCCTTAATCGCTCTCCCGGACGGCCAGCCACTGAATCTGCGATCGTACTGGATCAAGACGACAGTGCTCTGGGGATACATCTTGTCTGACTACGTCGATTACGGCCGCCGCAACTTTACTCTGCCGCCATTGGAAGGTCCCTATGGTGACCACAGCCGCGCAATACAAAATTGGTGTGCTACGCTGCCCGTGGAAATGCGGTGGAGTGAGGCTAATTTGAGGGCGCACCGCTCGCTTGGCCAGGCTGCACTGTTTGCCGAGATGCATATTCTCCTTGCCCATGCCCGATTTCTTGTGCAGCACGAATACCTGCCACAAATACACGAACCTGCGACAGCTACACACCACCGCCCATCTGCTGACATCCCTCTGGTGCCAGGATACGACCGCGCGGGCATCGCTTTTACTCATGTTGATGATCTGGTGATTCAAGTCTGCGTCGACGGTGCCTTTGAGGTAGTAGATCTGATGCGTGTTGTGCAGGCCAACAATGTGCAGTGTACCATTGGCATGGGCGTGGCCTTGGTCACTGCATGCAGTGTTCTTTTATGGGTCGTTGACTGTAGCAGGCAGGCGACCCGTGGTGTACCTTTCGACCACATTGACCATACCCGCGCGGAACAAAGCATTTCGTATCTGTTGTCCGTCTTAGACTCGGGATTTCCGCGGCACTGGCGCCTATCCAAGACGTGGGCATCGTCCATTCGACTGCTAAACCGCTTTTATCAGGCACACTACCACTCCGTGACACAGTCGGAAACGGCAGTAGAGAGTAGCGGCGACATAGACACGGACATCGCGGCGGATAGAAGAGAGGACGACGGAGGTGAGCAGCGGTCTACTATGCTTCAAATTGGCGATGGGCTGCCTGACATTTCCATGATCCCCGATGGGCTATATTACAAGGCACGCCTCATAACCGGTCTGAGCATGGAGATGCCCGACCTCTTGTATCGAAAGTTCCTGCGACAACAGATGCAACCACCGAGGGAGACAAGAACTGAAACAGCTGCAACCTCAGAGGATGCCGCGACCGTGGCGGAAACTATCACCGAGATGCCATCGACAGACGACTCCACCGCCGACTTCTGGCCGCTGGACTTGGACGTTATGCTCGAAGTGGACTTTGCATTTTTGACCAGTTTAGACGTAGACAATGACCCAGCCACGTGGACGACAATCCACGGCGAAAATTAGGACGCAAGGAAGATGAAAATTCAGTTTGTACATTCGTTTGTTTCGGTCAGCGTCACAGCTTTGCTATGCCACCTTGGGTCTCCAGGATCTCGTTTGCAAGCTCAACCACGCCTTCCGCACAACCATACGATCCTTGATATCCCCAACCACCATGCCCATAGTTGTGCACGACCCATCTGTTGTGTCTAGCAAGCAGTTGCTTTTCAACGCGGACGCCGCCTTTGCGGACAGGCCGGAAGCCCACGGCCTGGGCCACGACGTCTAGCGTCATGTTGGCATGCGTCGTTTGGTCGAAGCCTAAGGGCCACATAGCCCGAGCGCGATTGGTTATTCGTTTTGTTAGACTGGTATCGATCTCCGTGTTCCAGCAGCCTGCCTGGTAGCAGCCGCCGACAACGGTCCCCCCACCCGCCGGTCGCTGCATGATATAACACAACTCGTCCGGGCTATCATCGGAGCCAGACGTGACGATCATGGAACCTGGCTCACCTGTGCTGGGGTCAATAAGCTCGTTCTGCACCAGTAGAATTTGGCCCCTGGAGGGTACCACGCGGTCGTCCTGCACCCCACCGAGGGTCGCAGCGCCAAGACCGGTACAATTCACGACAATGGTCCGAGACGAGACCCCGGGCCCGGTCCAGGCGTCATTCAGATGGGCCAGACATTGGCGGCGGAAGTTGACACCGTGTTGCAGACACTGGCCGACCAGCCACTGCAAGTAGAGCGGCACGTTGATGCAAATGGACTGGAAGGTGGCGCCGAAGTCATAGCCGCCCGGGATCTCGGCCGGCTCGAGGGAGCGATATCCGGGCACGACTGTAGCAAACCAGGGGTCTGGAGCCATCAGGGTCTGAAACCACTGGCCAGTGGCGGTATCGCGGTCTTTGTGGCGCCCGAGCAGCTTGACGTCGCGGAAAACAACGCCTGCTTCGGGCACATATTGTGCCAACCGGGCAAATTCGGGCCAGGAGCTTCGTTCCCAGCGGCTGTTGGCGGCATCGGCCATGGGCATAAAGTTGGCACCCGCAAATGCAGAGGCGTAGGTGGCGGGTAGCTGGGCATCGCTGGGTAGATTTTGTGCCACCACGACAATCTGTTTCGTCGGGTAGGCCTTAGCCAACGTCAGCGAAGAGGTGAGCCCGGACACTCCAGCGCCGACGACAACAAAGTCGGCCATAGAAGGGATTGTTGGGTAATGGAGAGCCGTGGAAATTCTGGGAATTATGCATTGAGTTTAGTTTTGCTGTCCTCCTTTTCTTCTATTTCTTTCCCCCCGGAGTTCCTAACTTTCTTATCTTGAAATTCCAATTGCTCTTTATATTTTGACCACTTATTTCTTTACCGCCATAATCGGTTCTGGCTTCCGCTGTACAGATTGTAGCGGGAATATGGTCCTTGCCGAGCTTTTTTGTGACTGGGTTCCACTTCCCGGTCCGTCCTCGGAGGCTAACCAAATATAGTATTATATGTAGCTTGCCAACTTGGCGCGCTAACTACCATGCCCGATAGCTTAGATACGTGATGCCATAAATACCATCCAAAAGTGACTCGGGTTGTTGTCTCCTATGGTGTATGGACCGTCTCATCTTCCTATTTCATTAACGATTTGCTGTCATGCTGGAGATTACCTGTTCAGGCACTCCATATGAGGTGAGCTCACATCATCGACCTGCTTGCAAACTTTTTGTGTGATCGCCATTCTCACTAAGTTACGTCTAGATTGGCCTTCAGCATGGCCGCCAGGCGGTCTCTCTGGTCCATGGCAGCATTGACTTCTACCGCGAGTACTTTGAGCGCAAAAGCAAGTTGAGCTGGGACGCCTCTACTGCAGCAGCTATGCACTTCCAGAAAGTGCTAGACATCCATGTACCGCACCTCGTCGAGGAAATGCGCGGCATAGCTGACGGTGCAGGTGTGCCCTACACTTCGATCCTAGCCATCAATGCCCGGTCGGAGATAGCTATGGGCCTGATGGACGACGGCTGCACGTCGGTAGCCTGGACGACCGACGATTTCAGCGTTGCCGGCCAGAACTGGGACTGGGAGGACCCGCAAAGGGCGCGACTGGTTTTGATGCACATCCGTCCTGCAGCAGACCCCATTCATCCGCGCGTGAACTTGGATCAGGTCACCGAAGCCGGCATTGTCGGCAAGATTGGACTCAACGCTCACGGCGTGGCCGTCTTTCTTAACGCACTTCGCGCACCAGGCGTGAACTACGACGCACTGCCAGCCCATGTGGCTTTGCGGGTGGCCTTGGAAGCACCATCGCGCGCCCAGGCACTGGCGCAGCTCCGCGCGGTAGCCCCAGCGGCAGGAACATCCGTGCACATCATGGTAGCCGACGCGACGGGCGCCATGTCCATAGAGTGCACAGCAGTGGACATGGTCACGCTGAGCGATGTAAATGGGAAACTGGCTCACACAAACCACTTCTTGGCCAAGCACGCGCCCGACGCCCCGACCGGAGCCTCCTATGCTATTTTCCCTGACACGTATGCGCGTCAAGAGCGCATTACGCAGCTACTCGACGGTGACAGTCGCAGTCACCATGAGGCCATTAACGACAGCAGCAGTGCCCTTTCTCTAGTACAGAAATGGCTGGCCGACACCGACGGGTTTCCCGTCTCAATTAACCGTCAGAGTAGTCCGCCGGGCAACGGTAGCACAACATTATTCAGTATTGCCGTCGACCTACATGCCCGCCGAGCCATCGTTATTGACGGGCGGCCGACAAATGGCGGGAAAACGTATTATTTGGACTTAAGTGCTCATAGTAGTACGTAACTGTTACGATTACGGCCCCCACGAGACTAGAAAGAAGACCCAAGGCGGTCAGGACCGGCAAGACGAGGTTAGCACGGGAAACTATAGCTAATGGGGAGGGGAGGCTTAACCAGTGGGGTCAAGACCCCACGACCACAGACGAGCCACAAGGAATAAAATACTAAAATGGGGTTGGATGAGTTTTTCTCGTATAAAGTAGTAGATAAAAAGGAAGTATTAATAAAAACGTTTATATAGTAAAATAAAACGTGTCAGAGGGTCCTAGGGATAGGGGTTCAATAGAGAGAGGATCACGAAGCAAGACAGCCAAAACGTAGGTAGTAGGATGTGCAAAATCTAATCCTTACCCCGCCTCATCGAGAGGAGAGGGCTCGGATGAGCTTATATTGTTATCTGTAGAAACACCGTAAATTCCCCGTTGAATCAACGTATGCCTAAGGCACCCACGTAGAAGGCGCCCTGGTCTTAGAGGTTGGCGGTTAGTTATAAAGGGGAGTGTATT